CTAAGGCAGGCTTCACATTGCATACAGATCCATGTTAACTTTCCCATACAGATCCCCATAGAAGGTACACAGTGCAGGTCAGAAAAGACAATTGTGAGTATGATGATTAGCCCCAGCCCGCCACCCCTATAAATGGCACCAGAAAAGAAGTAGTAGACCGATATACCTCTCCACAATACACACACCCTGCACCCTGCACCCTGTACCCTGCACGCTGTGCCGCAATTTTACATGTAGCCAATGTACTGTTGCACACGTCACACGTCATGTATTCCTATTGTGTCACACGTCATGTATTCCTATTGTGGCCCGTGCTACTACTAGAGAGTATGGTGTTATAACTTTAAACAACCCATGCACTGGGCTAGTATTGGAGAGTGGAGACCTGGCCTTGCCGTAGCTTAGTGAGTCTGCTCCCTCCTCACAACGGCACAGTCATGTTTCATGTGACCTTGCTGTTACTTACAAGCTGTGGACACTGGTCAGAGTTTGTGTGTGCCAGGCACGTATACAACTGCTTGAGTAGACACGATCCTGTCACAATGAGAGGGGGAGAGGGAGAGGGACGGAGAGGCAATCGGTTACATACAGGAGCAAGAACAGGCTGACCACATGCAACTAACTTACACACATGAACACAATGAGAGTAGACGACATAAGAGCAATGGCCGCCAATGACGCACATAGAAGAACATGCGAGACATGCGCATGCACACACACACACACACACACACACACACACACACACACACACACACACCAATGCTGCTATATGAATACAGTCGTCCCTCTCTAATCCGGCACCTTTTGCTACGGCGTTTTCTGCTGGATTAACGAGGGTGCTGGATTAAGAAATCCTGCCCTCTGACCCGGCCCTACCCAATTGCATGCATGTATCATATGTACGTCAAAACGCAGGGTTTTTCCGTGTCGACCAAAGTATTTGGTGCTCGGCTTTATATTCTCAATTGTTCTCCGGGAATATACACAGTGATAAAGTGATAAAGTAAAACAGAGAACATGTTCACATGTACTCTTTCACACACACGCGCACACACACACACACCTGAAAATTGGCAGGACACTACTCCTTGCTAAAATAAGAAAGTATGGTGGACTGCCGTTGTCTCCTGGACAGCATTGACCAGACTGGCCTAGCCTGGCCTGGCAAGGAGTGCACCTGTACGGTACGCGATTTACGACTGCCGGATTATGAAATCAAACTACGTGCAGTTTGAGCGATTCGTTTCAAAAAGTCACTGCCGGAGGCGGAATTCAAGTGCCGGATTAAGATGTAGGAATTGAACGAAAAAAATCGGTTTCGTCAGAAAGTGCGCCGGTTGGCAAGGGTTCCGGATAAACAAGTGCCGGATTAGAGAGGGACGACTGTACTCATAAACAGAAGTGGAACAATTGGGGGGGGGGGGGGGGTGTGTGTGAAGCCAATTTCATGTAGAGCAACATTAGGAGGCAGAATCAGGCCTGAGAGGTTGCACCTTGGCGAACAGTGTATTTTCAGTAAACATGAATAAAACGTACACCGTGCGCAATAGAAAGCCGCACAACATGGCGGTAACTTACGGGGCAAGCACAGTAGCTTCAGTGCTTCAGCATGTGAGACCAAAGCCAGAAGAATCTTCAGACCCTGGATCCGTAGTGGTGTGTGCACATGTGCAAGACAACTATGCACCACACCACTCTGGAACACTTCCCTGACGAACCTAGAGAGCAGAGTAACAACAATACACACACACACACATACACACGCACACATACACACGCACACATACACATGCTTTTGCTGAATGACACGAGAGCGTCGTCATACTTGGAGCTGCTGCTCAGTCGTGAAGGCTGGCCACAAACACAGTGTGCTGAGGTGGAACAAGGGGATTGATTGAGAGCTAGCACAAATTACAACTAATGTGTCTACATGTCGTGTACAAGAGGAAAGCTTGTCAAATCCAGTACGTACTCTGACAAGGCAGTGGCTGAATGTTGTGACAATCCACATCCAGGAACGGCACATTGACTGATTGATGATAATGTACCAGCAGCAACTACTTGTATTGCTAGTAACGGGGCCTGAACACAATCAATACACACCGACACCAACACCAACACACACATGATCAAAAAGGATATCACGCGCATCAATAATTAAATGTGTATGTGTGTGAGAGAGAGAGAGAGCGCACGCGTGTGTGTGTGCATGTATGTTCGGATGCCAGGGATCCTTGGATGGGCTGATCCGTCTCCACAGCATCCGACCAACGGTCACCATCAGTACATACTTAAAGTGTTAACTCACATTTACATTGTAGACATAATTATATACGCTATCGATAGCATCAAGCCAACAGCCAATGGCCCTCTTGAATGGTGTGAGCCGCCCGTATGAAGTACACCAGATGGAAAGATCCAGGAAACATCACTTGATCACCCCCACTGCCATCATAGCTGTTGACAAGAGTCACACTGTAGCTCAGTTGGCTACAGGATTGGTCGCGACTTGTGAATAACACGATCCCCTGATTTGAGTCCCAGTGGTATGACTGATGATTTTTTAGTTCTTATCTGGCTTGCAAGAGTTGAGAAAGGAGCAATAAGCCAATGGCCTAATCTCTCTTCTTAGAAATTGTCTCTGAAATCTATATAATATTATACTAAGGTTGAACTTGAAACTATGTTACAACCATGCCTAGTTCCAATGAAACACAAAAAGTGACGAATAGAACAAAGCAGACAAGAGACCAAATATCTGCCCAGCGAAACACTAACCTGCCCTTTAGATACCAGACGAACGAGATGTCTCCTGAGCCGATATGCGGCATGGCATACGGCTGTGTCATCGGTCAACATCCAGTCTTGACAAGCTGCTGTCACGGTTGTTGAGGCGGCATGCATACCACTAGGTGTAGCACTGGGGAGCACGTCGGGCGTACTAGCGCGAGAAAGCAACACAAGACGACTGACAGACTTTGCAAATGCTGGCTGAGGCAGTGCGGTCACGCCAGTGTTCTGCATTGCACATGACTCAGCGGACGTGTTTGTAAACTGATTCGGCGAGGCAGCAGCAGCAGCACCACCACCACCGCCATCACCACCACCGCCATCAGTGATGGATACACTTTGCAACTGTGACGTCGAGACAGCTGATTGTTGCCATGGTGAGCATAGACTGCGTGGCTCCACAGCTGGTGATGAACATTGCGTCTAAACACATGCCACGCGGTATCAAAAGAACACCAAAGTCCAAAATCATTATGTTCCATGTATTATCACGTGTTACAAGTATTACTTCAGTCTTCTGCATTGGGGTAAGGGCTATGGCAGTATGGGCTATGCCATGTTTACACGTAGAGAGTGCACACAAGCACCAGCTTCACCCCACAAGGCATCATTCCTGTACTACACACTTCTAAATACTCATTCAACATCTGGCAATGCAGGTGCACTGTTGAGCTCTGATGGAGGTAAACAGCTGCCTCTATGGTCTATGAATATCAAATTCTAATCAGGATTGTCCTCGTTACACTTGTGATGTGCTAGTGGTGTGAGTTGGCCAAGAGAGCTCAGTGTACAGATTCAGAAGAAGATACGCATACACATACAAACCCATGTACACACCCACATACATTTGTTGCACATACACAATGTGGTGCACACACAGACACACACATACACGCAAAATAAATGCGGGATCATTTTGGACATACTTTGTTGATGAGTAGCCGATGGCTGAATGGACTCTGAACAAATCCTTTATTGCCGTCGCCACCAGCAACACCACTTCCAACTATACTGTAACCCTGAAACGAAAACACCACCACCACCAGTAAGCAGACACCAGACACACTGAATATATGGCTATCTTCTTCACAGCAATGGCAAGTATAGACTCTGGCAAAACGTGTGCTTGGTGATTACCCCACGGTGTGCTGAAAGCCAGTGCACAGTCTTTATACAAAAAGTCTTCAACACAGCGTCCAATATACTTGCGTTGCAGCATGGACTGGGAGCTGTTGATACATGCCTTTAGAAATACAGTTGTGTCTCTGCTTGTTGCAAGGGTCAGAGAGCACATCAACCGTGTGAACAACAACGGCGACGACAACAACAACAACAACAGCAGCAGCAACAACAACAACAGCAGCAGCAACAACAACAACAACAACAACATCTCTTATTGACCACTGGCCATCGTGAGAATAAAAAAGTTAACAACACCAACGCCGACGCCGACAACAACAACAACAGACACACCTTGTCTGGGAACGTTGCCACAGGTTGTACACGTACACCATGCGGCGTGACAGTTACAGGTGGCTGTGCTGGCGAACTTCGTGGACGATCGGGCGTAATTAGTGATGATGATGCCGATACTGATGTCTTGGATAAAGTGATCTGAGGTAGGAGCAGTGGCTCAGTGCGTAACGCAGGTGCTGCTGGGCTGCTTTCCCTGGATGAGTGCTTCACTGTGGATGTAGTCACGGCAGTTGAACTTGTCGATGATGTCATAGTTGAATTCTCACAGTGTGCAGATGCCAGCAGATAGCAGGCGTCCATGCTCTGCTGTAGTAAGTGATCCAAAGTGCACAGGATCTCCACTGCCTGCCGGAGCTGCTGCTGCTGTTTCTGCTGCTTCTGCTGCGCCGCTGCCTGAGTACTGGTGTTGGCGGACTCTAAGCCACTCAGAGATGCGCCAGTCGCATGTTGAGTGTAGCTTGGTGTCTGGATCGACGAGTGCTGCTGCTGCTGAGGTGGTTGTGGCGATGGAGCCATTGGCAGCAGTTCAGGAGTGGTGTCAGGATTGAAAGACGTTGCAAACTCGTCGCAGAAATCTGCCACCAGAGACTCCAGACGTGTGATCCACATGCCAATGGCTTGGTGTGTCTCGGACGGCCTCTGGATAACGGACAAGGAGCATTCAAACATGTCCGGTGTACTTGTTCTGTTTGGTGTACTACGACGCGATGATGACCGCAATAATCTCTGAACAAGTCGAGAACTGCTGGACGATATGCAGAAAGCCGAGTGCCGGCCATGCTCTGTCATTGACAACGCAAGAGCAGAAGCGGCCGCTTCTTTCATGTGTTCATCCTCAAGATGACGATGGCGGTTGGACACTGTAGGCTCAGTGGATGAGATTGCAGCTGTTGTCGGCAACGGTGGCTGTCTCGGCATGATCTGCAATGTGTCGAGAACGTTTATAGAGGTGATGCCCACACTTTGGCACACTGTCAGCATTTCATCCGATAACATGGGCTCTTGTAGCAAACAGTCAACCAGTCTATTGCAAGCGACTCTAGGTGAGTGAAGTGAGTCAGAAGAGGCATTGGCAGCACCAGCTGACCCACTCAGTGATGGTAAGACAAGATTACGTCTCAATGTGAGCCTCTCACTCTCCATATTGACTGCACTCATCACACCAGTGGCGCTAACTGATCTTGGAGTTGGGCTTGTGCTTCCGGAACGACCTTCCCGAAGCAGAGCGTTATCCTCTGAGGATGCACGCTTCACGTAGGTACGCTTTGCCGGCAATTCTAGGGAGATGCCATCGCTGTAATCCTCGCTGACAGCGATGTGAGGTCGCTTCAGAACACCACCACCATCACCATCATCGGTACTGGCAGTAGCAGCATTGGGACCGCTTACAGTGTTGTTCCCACTGCTGTTTGCACTGCCCGTGGCAAGTGTAGGCTTTTGTTGTGACAGAAATGATGTAATAGTCGGGAAATCAGACATGCCCGTCTTCATGGCAGCAACTGCTGCCGCCGGGGCATATGACACATGTTGTTGTTGTTGCTGCTGCTGCGGTTGTTGTTGCTGCTGCTGCTGCTGCTGCTGCGGTTGTTGTTGTTGCTGCTGCTGCTGTTTTTTCTTCATAAGGTTTTGGTTCTCTTTTCGGAGTTCTTCTAGATCCTGGTCTTTGAACTGCAGTTGAGTGGTTAGTTTCTCAATTTTCTCTAGCAGCTCTTTCTCTCCTTGCGCAATTCTAGACTTGGCTGTCTCCTCCTTACAATGCATTTGCTCTTGTAGCGCTGATATTCGACGTTCATAGCTTGCCTGTCGATCTCGTAGTACTTGATTTTCACCTTTGAGCTTAGAAACAGAACCATGTGCACCACTGTTGCTACTACTGTCTGTCACTGCATGACTAGTATTGTAGTGTGCTTGGCGGTTGGCAGCAGCAGCAGCTGCAGCAGTCACTCTGCTATTCGGGTGCTGCTGCTGTTGCTGTCGGTGTTCAGATCCAGTCCTGCTCGATCTTGCTTTTACTGGTGAAGTGTCACCGAGGCAAATACTCTGTTCGATTTCAGCAATCTTTGCAAGTGCATCCTCATCCCAGTCTTCCTCCATATTGACATCACCATCATCTGGTTGTTCTTTCTGTGCCTGAGGATTTTGCTGGGGGTGTTCAGAAACTCGCATTCCGCTATACTGAGCATCTGCCATGTTTACAGCAGCCAATAAGTCCTCTTCACACTCCTCCAGACCATCTAGATCAGCTATTACAGTGACAGCTGGAGCTACAGGCTTGGCAGGCCTGGCAGGTCTGGCAGTGCTGGTGAATGCAGGTTTGAAATCCTGACTGAATAGAGTTTCGTCCATAGCGTTCAGCACATCAGCGATCCGGCCACTGGTCTATTCACGTATGCAACGTGCTCTCAATGAGTCAATTATTTGAGAAAGTGTTCTTTCTCTAAATGTGCACTCGACGAATCAATTACAATGATCGTAGTAACTCCCTAAGTTTCGCCCTTGTACTAATCATCACGAATATTATTAGTGACGGCACTAGGCGCAAGGCAGAGTGGTCATCAATCATGCACGGCAGCGTACAGGCTTCCGATCTAAGGAATATCAATTGAGTAGGGAGGTTGAAGCCAATTAATTATTTGACTATGTAAAATGTGAGAAAGCAACAGGGCCATGGGATGGATACATGCATTTTTGGTGTTTATCGATATCGTGAGCGCTCGAGCCAATGCTTTCATGTCATGATTCATGCCTGCTTTGTCGTCTTTTTTTTTTGTTGCAACAAAATAATTCGCACACTCAGTTTGAGTTCACGCGCCATATTCGTCTCCATAACGATTACTACTTCTGTAGAGGCAGAAAATTTCGTCGGTCAATAATTTCGTCCAACTCCAAAGAAAAGGAGTTCGTCTGGCTGAAAATTTCGTCCATGGATCATAAGAATGTATAGAAAAGCTGGACAAATCGATATTCGTCCTACATTTAATTTAGTCCAAAAGCTCCTTGGACGAAAAAGACGAAATTAAATTCCAGACGAATATTTCTGCTTATACAGTATGTAGTATGTACTGACATGACACATCGATCGTACACAGTATAGTACATGTATGTGCTGTGAAACTAATTACTTGAAATTTGAAAAAGGGTCCAAAAAGGGCAGCAGTCCATTCAGAAAAAAATGGACTTCTAGCTTTTGGCCATAAATGGGTCAAACTTTGAGTTTTTTTAGAATTTTTTTCTGCAATCCCCTATGGAATCCTCTTCCAATTATGTTTCTGAAGTTTTTTTTGTCCAAAAAGCAAGCCATAACAAGAATAGAATTTCGGCCAGGTTTTGCCCCAACAGCACTGAATTGGGAAACACCATAAAAATCCAGGCCGTTTGACCCCGCCTGCAAACGACGTGCATTGTGCGGTTCGAACCCCAGTTCAGGTTTTTTTTTTTTTTTTTTTTTTTTTTTTTTTCATTGTAAAGTAGTTCAGGTACCCTTTTTGGACCCTTTTTTTTTTAACTTGGTAAACCGGCCTCTTGTACGGGCAGAATTAAGTAACACAATGATACAATAAAAACAAGTACCAGTAGTTACATACATGGACCATACGAGAAAAAGCAATGATGACGAGGCATAAACAAGTGTCTAGTGCTGTATGGCAGCTTCCGAGACAGCGAGTCGAGCGGATGACTCAGCCACCTCCGGGTGCGAATACAGCCGTCGTGCACCACGCAGGCAAGCCACGCCTGCACGGAGAAGGGCGGACCCTTTTTCAAATTTCAAATTTCGCAGCACTGCACTGTGTACGATGAAATCACGAAAAATCGCCAAATACGGGAGCTCGCCAGAGCCAGAGCCCATCTTTTTATGAATGGACTGAACTGGGGTTCGAACCGTACAATGCACTGTTGCAGGCAGGGTCAAACAGCCTGGATTTTGATGGGTTTTCCCAATTCAGTGCTCTTGGGGCAAAACCTGGCCGAAATCTTATTCTTCCTAGGCTATGGCTTGCTTTTTGGAGAAATAGACTTCAGAAACAGCCATAGGGGGTTGCAGAAAAAAATCTAAAAAAACTCAACGTTTGACCCATTCAATCATGGCCAAAAGCTAGAAGTCCATCTTTTTCTGAATGGACTGTAGTCGAGTACGAGTAGCTCGCAAGAACTCTGCCTACACGCTGATACTGTGTGATAGCTGATGACTGTGAGCAGGGAGTCGTAAAATACCCTGTATTTTACGACTCCCTGACTGTGAGTGTGGCTGACAGCGCCGGTACCATGGTACGGTGGTCGAAGACGTCGACAGCGCAAAAATCACGATAGCTGCATGCATGCAGTTCCCTTGATCCCTGGACTCTCGCGGTGGTCCAGTGTGGACAGGTCGCTGCCGCAGCAATGAGAGCTGAGACAGGGAGCTGAGAGAGACGGCAACACTTGACGCTGTGACTGGGCTAGCTGTACAGTGTATTGTACGAGCTGGGAGTACGTAGATCTACCCGGTCAACTCTGGTACACTGTACTAACTTGCACGATGGCATGGGCCAGCAACTCTGCAGATCCAGGAGCTGTTGTGTGTTCGTTCAAACTCTACCTTCTAAGTGAGAACTGTGGCACTACAACAATTTCGTGCCTTCCCGTGGCTTCACGAGTTTGTTTAGAGGCTGTTATTGTGGTGCTGAGTCTTGTGTACTGTAGTGCTGTTCCTCGTCACCTTTCCAGTGCCTGCACGGATTTTAATCTTGTCGTTTGCCAGCACTGAACTGCAGTTTTGTGGTGTGTTGTTCGTCAATACGGTAGCTGTTGGGACCCAAAGTGCTGCTGTTTGTTGTAGGATTGGCAAGGATAGTTTCAGTACCCCGAGGACATACTGCCGCCGAGAGGAGACGGGGCTCTGAGGCAATGGAGTACGAGATCGCATATTTATGAGAATGAACTCCAAGCCGATTCCAGCAATGGTGGCTGAGGATGAGGAAGAGAAGAATTGGAGTAGCGATGATGAAGTTAAAAAGCAGTTCGATTCGTTACAGAGGGTTATCACCATTTCTTACGATAACTTGAATCGGCTGCGCCATGAGACGGCGTCAACTTTCGTTCGCGAGGAGATCAAGACCTTAGAGGTGTGTACCTAATGCTTGTGTCGGAACCCTTTCATGCAATTCATCGCGAATATTGTGACACTACTTTCTGCCTTATGAATATGTCGTTGTCCAGGGCAAACTCGTGCGCCTCTTCTACAGGCAGATGGCCCTGCATGAAGGTGTTTTGGAGCCTCACATGGATCTATGGCTAAGAGTCGTAGGGCTAACAGAACCCACCATTGAGGTAAGTAGTCAGCAGTTAATTTGTAGATTTACTGAGAATGTGTGCTAAAGGTTTGAGAATATTCGTACCAGAACCGCAGTAACAGCAAAATTTGTACCTGTCTACGATCAATTCTTTAGTAACTGCTCAGCACTGGTTCTTTCCTCGAAACCCTTCAGATATCCCATACTGTTGTGGCGCGTTTGTTCTTTTCCGTCAGTGTCGTTTCCTTCCTCTGTTATTTTGTTTATCGTTTTCTCCTCACACATTTGTTGTAGTTGTCAGACTGATCACTCGGTTTAGGGAAAATTGCCTCAAACTTGTTTTAGTCGGAACGACACGATAAGGCTGACTTGTATTCCTCGTGCAGCACCGTCAGAAGTCAACACCAACACCATAGTGTTGACTTCTGAACGGAGTGAGCTGTTTTCGTCGGCGTGTATTATTATGCACTTGAGGAGATTCATGAACATTTGCTAACAATGTATTTTATATTATGTTCCTGCACCTTAGGGTCTGCTTGATCGTAAGATGAAGCTAGGCGACAGCGTTGAGCATATTGAATCGGTCAAAGCTGCCATGAAGCAGCTAAAGGCGAGCGATGAAGATGTGCGACGCCTGTGCATTGCACTGCACAACATTCGTATATACAAAGGTATGTCAGCAATGCAGAAAGCTGAGAATAGTTGCCCTGATGCTGTAGAGTGTAGTACAACTACAAGTCATGTACTAGCTGTGTCACATAACGTTGTACTTGTACTATGCTAAAAAGTCCTATTCCTGCTGGCTCAGTGCAGTGCACTGCATTGGAGCTAGCAGCTACTGGCAGTAGCTTGGTCTGAGTACTGGACAAAATAATTTTATGACAAGCAGTACTTGGTTTATTTTCCCTTGCTTGTTAGCTGTGGCATGTCATTCCTGATACAGGTAGTACTACTTGTATTTCTCTCAGATCCTCTCTGAGTGACTAGTATGCAGGCAAACTGCCACGAGATTGTGTCTAAGTGAGTGTGGAACAAGAACCCCTCTTCCACCTGTTGTCTTAGCATGAGGCAGATTTGGTTGGCTGTCAGTACAGCGGCTAATAAAATTAAAGCTGTCAAAGACGTGCGTAGTTTAAGCACCCAGACCAAGATGGCTGTGCCACTGCTGCAGTGGTCTTAGGCAACTGCAGTGGGTAGGGTGCATTACATTATTATTATTATTATTGTGTGGAGTGTAAAACAGAGTTCTTGTACTAGTAATTCTAACACAATGGCCAGCCGTTGTTGTAGGAGCGCACTAATTCGTGTGTTGGCTTGCCAATATCACAGTATTGTGTGAGTGTGGGAGTATTGGGTTGCGGCTCTGAACAGCGCGACCCCCTCCTATCGTAGACAGACGCATATTAAACGCCCTGTGCTGGGCAGGTAATTGCGCAGGTGTCAGGGATTATTTGATGAATGTGGTTCAGACACATGACTCATGCCGATCTCTGTGTCAGTGTATGTTGTAATACCTAAGAAACTAAAGCCGTACTACTGCTATCACACACCCGTCACTAGCTGCCAGGCTGTGAATTATCCACAAAATATCCGATAGTTATGGTGTAAAATATTTGGGCCCGGACTATCTATAACTTATTTCCATCACCCTGTCTTATAGGTCAGTTTGTTGACATGCACATTCTGCGCGCGCTGGATTAGATGTGTACTGCCAGTGCTGACGTCGAGTGTGCATTGAGTGGTCCGTAAGGCCTTGAAGTATGCGTGCAGTACTGGAGGTCTCTTGTACACACCTTGGTTATTTGTTTATGTATTGGTCTGGGTAAACATCAGTGCATGCCAGTCCAGAATTCAGACCCGTCACTTTAATGTGCATGCGCGGCGCCTGCGCTTTGGCCAGCAGCAGCAGCACTGGTATTGTGCCACAGCTGCATATGTCTGCATTGCTTCCCAACCTGTCAATGAAATGACAGATTTCCCTCCCTGTAATTTTACATGCGTACAGTATGTGTAATGCTGTCAAACTTGTAACATCTATGGACTCTGCTTCATGACATTATTCCGTCAGGCTCGTACCTGTACATGTATGTGGTGCAGTTGGCACTATGGTCTATGTTGCTGCTCTAGTAGTACATGTAGTGCACTCACTAGGTAGGTGTCTGACTCTGTCGTACATTCGGTGTTGTAGCTGAGCTAGCAGTTGTGTAAAGTCTACTGGGGGCTTGACAGGGATTTGGAGTCAAAGTAAGCTGGATCTAAGACATACATTGTATATAAACCTAAGTATTAGTTTTGAAGCGTGAATGTCGATGTCAATAATATTTTGACCCCTTTTTTAACCCTTTAGGGCCCACAATTATTTCAAGAAATGCACTGCATACGGGAGCCCAGGTACTTATCTGGTCGTAACTTTGGTGTCCTTTGGCCGATTTTGGTGATCTTGGGCTTTCTGGAAATCTCTTGGCCAGAGGAACACAGCGATAGCCAGCAATACATCACTCGATCCACAGAACCAGCGCCGCAGCGCGATACAGCGCTCCAAAGCCAGCATTGCGAGCGCCCAACTCAAATTCTCTGCCATTTCAACAAAATGCATCGCAGATCGCTCAAATTTTTTTCCTGGAGAGCTGAGAAACATGCCTTTGCGATGACGTAAACTATCTGTAGCTGCGTGGGCCGCGAGTCAGGGAAAACCCCTAAAAACGAGTTCAAAATGCACGCGCTCGAGTTGACTCTGCTGAGCGAATTTAGGTCGAGTTACGTATCTCCGCTCTCCGAACTCGGATCGCGGTCGGGTTTTTTCGAGCCGATAGCTGAGACAATTCTAATGTCGATAGCCCTTTCGATTGTCCGATTTGGTCAAGGGACAGCCGAGTTACGCCAGGTTGCGCTTTGAAAAGTATGCACTGTACACTGGTACGGATATATCCGTACTATGGGCCTCAAAGGGTTAATAGCAAGAACAGGCGGCGAGTTTGGGCAGTTTATTCCTTCTATTTGGCCCGCCCAACCTCTATAAGGAAGCGGGTTCAACAATTTGATGTATGTTGTGGCCGTGTGTGTGCGTGTGTGTGTGTGTGTGTGTGTGTGTGTGTGTGTGTGTGTGTAGTGATGGTAGTTAGTCACAGTGTATAGTGATGGTAGGTAGTCATAGTGAGTAATACTGCTGTTATACAGCTGTGTCTTTTCCATGGTAGCAATGTCAATACTTCCTGATTGACTGGGAAAGACCTGTCCTCATACGTAGTTCTGATTTTGCCCATGGGCAAAAGTATGTGCTGCTGCTGCTGTTGCTATTTTGGTAATGGGTGGCGGATGTAACCTTGTTAAGTCAAAAGGCAATGACAAGATACTCTGTGTGTGTGTCCCTGTGCCATCCTTAGTGTTCTTTTATACATATGCTTTCACTGCACCAGTCCACGTTAGGCTGCTGGTAATTCAGTGCTGGCTCACAGTGTATTCTACATTTCTACTTCCTGTGCATCTGCACAAGTGTTGTCATTAGCTTTTGTGTTGGGTGTATGTTGCTTGTCCATGTACATGTTTATCAGTGAGTGCTGAGTGCTGTGTCATTGTCTACTACATTGTACGTGGGCTGTGCATGTCCATGTGATTGTATGGTCATGCTATTCATTGCAAGGTGTCACTAATTGATTTTAGTGTTGCAGTGCGCCGGTGCTTCAGAACTCAGTTCATTGCCCAGCTGCAGCTGTGTGAAATGGGTGTACTAAGTGTTCAGCAAGTGCTGCATGCCCTATCCTGGGTGTGTTGCATAGGTGCATGATGTAGTGATGTAGTGGGTTGAGCCACAACACCAGTCTACATACATGTAGCTGTATGGTGTGTATGGATGTGTACTGTGCTGTATGTTGTGCAGTCATGTAGTACAGCGAGCCTTACTGGTGTGTGCACCCATCACTTTCAACTGCATGCACCATCTATTCTTTATCAGAACCATCTGTACTGCAGCTGAATTGCCCTGAATCAAAGTGCATGCCAACAAGTGCAGATTCGTTTCCTTGTCAGTGCTCTTTATTTCTTTGCTGAAATCACACTTCGACAGAAGGACACGTAATGTACTACCGTAAAGTACCGTTGTTTGAGCATCTGCTGGTGTGTGCATATGTTCTGTGCTGTATTGTCCTAGTTTTGATCCATGGTTGTGTATTTGTTATAGCTAATTCAGACTACTGTACAAAGAGAAAGACCAAGGAACTACAAGTTACGCTTTACTGTCCACTAACACCACCATTTACTTAAAGGGGAAGTTAAGGCAAAAATTAAAATTTCACCAGTTGTAGTCTTCGGGGTGCTGAGTCGAATGGTCTTGGTCCGAGGAAGCTGAGACGCTCCCTTCCTACTTGAATCCCAATCGAACTCGCGCACTTCCACCGAAACTGGGTGACTGCGCCCTACGAGATGGGGATTTGTATGCAAAATGTCACTAAAAGCGCCATTTCGTTCTTATAAAAGCACGGATGACCGCGATTGGCCCATATGTTGTAGTCTTTTGGACGCTGAGTCGACTGGTTTTGGTCCGAAAAGGCTGCGATGCAGCGTTCCTCCTTTATTCCCAATCGAACATGGCTGAACAAGCGGTCACGTGCTCCTGGGTGCCCAAATCACCTGGTCACCACGCCAGCAGGCGACAAATTTCACACCAAGGTTCAACTCGAGTGACAGGAGTGCATCCAAAAAAGGTCAAACAGGCTAGTAAGTTGTACCCTGCAGGCACGGTGACCAGGTGACTGGTGTACGCAGGAGCACGTGACCGCTTGTTCAACCATGTTCGATTGGGAATAAAGGAGGAACGCTACATCGCAGCCTTTTCGGACCAAAACCAGTCGACTCAGCGTCCAAAAGACTACAACATATGGGCCAATCGCGGTCATCCGTGCTTTTATAAAAACGAAATGGCGCTTTTAGTGACATTTTGCATACAAATCCCCATCTCGTAGGGCGCAGTCACCCAGTTTCGGTGGAAGTGCGCGAGTTCGATTGGGATTCAAGTAGGAAGGGAGCGTCTCAGCTTCCTCGGACCAAGACCATTCGACTCAGCACCCCGAAGACTACAACTGGTGAAATTTTAATTTTTGCCTTAACTTCCCCTTTAACAATCAGCTCGTGCGATAACATTGCACGACACTGACCGACGGTACTGACGTTCTACATAGGGCCGAAACGATTATACCGATTACTTGTATATCACTCGTTATGGATGAAATCGATAATCGTTATGATCGATAACGATTATGACAGTACAGTACGAGAGGATTCAGTACCTGCAGATGATGCATCATTGCATGGCATCATGCATGCGCGTCGTGCGCACGTAGTACATGTACGTCGAATTACATGCAGCCGTAGGTCCATACAACCTCCAGTTGTCAATGTTGAAGATGATGATAGAGATGAGTATTACCTACCTCTACCTGAAGTTGTCGTGGATGACTCAGAATCTGACACCAACAACGAACAGATGTCTGACGTTGATGCCTAATGGCAGAGGAACACTGCTCACATCACGTTGCAAATTTCATTTTGGTCTCTTTGGGCCTGTGTGGATCTTTCACCCTGTACATACCTGTATATAGTTGAACAAAGTTAATTGTTTTTGCCGTATGCTGATTTCCAACATGACATACACAACTTTTTCGAAAAATCGGTAAAACCAATAAATCGGTCGTTAGTGTTATTGGTTAATTGTTAAGGCAAAATGGGCAATCGTTTCGGCCCTAGTTCTACAACTAACTGGCTAACAGCTCTAGCACATCTTGGATGCGCACTCCAACAGCCTTCCAAAGCCTTCCAGCGTAACTTGTAGTTCCTTGGTCTTTCTCTTTTAATAAATTAAACCTTGGCTCTCCATCTGAGTCCATTCAGACTACTGTAGTTTGTAATTTGCTTCACGTCCCCCTTCCGAAAATCATTTGTTCACAGTACAGAGACGTTGTCTGCTTTCACCTAATAACCTGTTATTACCGTATGTTATCCCACTCAGTGTGCTTTCCCGTGTATGAACTCACGCACACGTGAGCTCTTGATAGTGTGATTGTGTTTGTCATTACATGAATCTGTTTGACTTTGTGTGTGTGTGTGTGTGTGTGTGTGTGTGTGTGTGTGTGTGTGTGTGTGTGTGTGTGTGTGTTTACAGAGCGTTGTCAGTCCTGTGAAAGTGGTAAGCAGGCACAATGGCAAGATCTGCACTGGGAGAACTGGAGCACGTCAACAAAGAACCATGGAAGCAGCATTAGCAGCAGTGGCACTATCAACTCCAGCTATTTCCACTGCCCAGATAGCGGCTTCAGCTTCCGGCACTCTTCAGAAGGTACTGGTGCAACGGCACATCGGCCCAACGTTCAGTCATATTCGGAAACACCACCTTACCGACACATGTCAGATGGCGGTGTGCCGCCATCATGCTTGTATCGCAGGCGCTCCACGGACAGTGGTGGCTGTGCTATTGCACCGTGGGAGTCTGATGGTGGCTATTCAACACCATCTTCGCCGTCTTTCCTTGAGGGACATGTAAGAGAGTTGCCACTACATGTACATGTAGTATACAGTGTATTCATGGATAATGTTTCACCTACCCTTGCATAGCTGCACTTTTACTAGAATAGATGTCAGCATGTACATGTACTTGAATACAACTATTACCGTCATAAGTGACTTGAAGTCGTGCATAAAAGCCACGTCTTGTATGACTTTTTTGGAAATTTTGCAGGCGTCTATACAAGACAGGTATTTCTATGTGGGTATGTCAACACTAAAACCAGGCTTATGTGCCGACGGTGTATCTTGGAGATCAGGCTTCTATTCAAACCATCCGTGGGGAAACATCTTATCTGCCTGATAGTAATGTTGCTTCAACGTAGACGTGGCCTGGTGGCTGAGCATAGCCAGCCATAAGTCTGGTGGCTGAGCATAGCCAGCCATAAGTCTGGTGGCTGAGCATAGCCAGCCATAAGTCCGGGTCACTGGTTCAAGCACTGCTGGTGACAGTCATGTTTTTCTTCAGACTTGTCCCGTTTGCAACTCCAACAAACTAATGAATATCAACATAGACTTGCTTACCTTCAGAGGAACATTACGTGACTTTAGTCACCTTGGTTTTCTTTCCTTGCAGACGGAACTAGAGTGGCTACTTTGGATATGGAGCCCATGGGGTTGTGTGCTGCTGTTCACCCCAATGAAACCTGTAGAGATTGCCAATGGCAACGATTCACCCCGATACCATCTGTGTGTTCCATTTATCTTGAATATTGTCCGTGGGTGCGACTGTGTGTGGGTGTGTCATGGCCCTTTCTTGTACATTATTCAGCTCTCCTACAGCAACCTGAGCATCCATTCGGTGGTAAACAGTCGACACAAGTCATCGTCACTGCAACGCAGTAACACTGTATCGCTGGTGACACCACTCTGTTCACAGTCATCACAGCCGGTGTTTGCACGTGCCAAGCCTCTTCGTGCATCCGTTCATAGCTTACCAATACGCAAGCCTCGCAAATGGAACTTCAAGAAAGGGAAGCGTGTCTCTCGCCAAGAGACTATTTCCTCACGGAGTAAGTGTTGTGCATTTATTATTATTATTATTCCCTCAAACTAGTGAAGATTATATTATTTTTATTATTATTAGTTTGAGGGAAAGAGACTATTATTATTTATTCATATTTTGATAGGGCAGTCCTCACAGACATTTATGACTCACCAACAGTATGAAAACCGTCGTGTGCAGCTCCCGCGATGAGATAAGATTGCACAGTTATTTGTCTGCATGGTGTTGGTGCGTCGTTGAAGTCCCAGCCTCTGACTGCAGCTCGCACTGCTTTTGTGCCATCAGTGGCATTTAGTTCTGAACTAACTTCACATCAAAAATGACGTTGGTGTGTGGTGGGGGGGGGGGGGGGGTGCTGCATGGTAGTTTTGCCAAAACTCACCCTCTCACACCATGTAGTGTGTCTGGCTTTGCTGCTGACAGTTTATTTACTTCCTCCGCGTCATCGAAATTGTCGCAGTTTGACTTTTGATATAAAACGGGGTATTTACTCACCAGCACTTGTACCAGAGGCAAGGAATTGGACATAGGCGATAGTCATCAGTATAGGGTGACGGCAAAGTTCTATTTTCTGTTATTGGAAGCTGGAATTTTTGAACTAGACGCAATTTCTTCGATGATGTCGCTGCGATGATAATTTCGACTCGCTGAGATCAGTCAGGCGGTGCAGCCTGCACATTTCTCGTGCTTATGGCCATCCACTCAAGCCTCATCACTGTTTTACCTTAGCTGGGGTGAGAATGACTTCGTGAAACAAGTGGCAGCGCTTGGAAAAACATCGAGGGGTCAGCAAACTAAATGCCTGCAACAGCGAGAAAAATTGTCGCTCTGGCTGAGACACTCAGTACATGATTGTACCTGCAAGAACCGTGTAGACTCTACACGTAGTGCTAGAGCCTAGTGATGCACGCGCAGGTGCCGTACCATGGTATACCAGTGATGCTGAAAAAGAGGGCGCGCTGGACGTGATACTGATAGTACACTTACCTGCATGAGCTGTGACCACACAGCTAAAATAAAAATTTTGGGCATGCCACGGCTAAAAAAAGTTCATTTCAAGGTCGAAGTGATTCCGCCGACGGTAATCAACCGACCTCGCAACGATCGTGTATTCTTACTAGGCTTCGTTGGCGGTGAAGTAGAAATCATCCAGAGCTAGCAGACGACAAGCATAGCAGCTCTTGTCTTGTGGAGAAAGTCAAAGCGTTTGAGATGAGGCGTGACCACCTTTCAACCTTCCTTGAAATATTTCGGAACGATATTTTTGCGTCCATTGACATCAGGGACGACGAGGACTTCATCTCTGCATGAAAACTCTCAGTCCAACTGTCCTGGAACGTTACTCTAGTCTTCAGACTATCATACTGTGTAATAAGTTTTGAATGGCTTAGGTTATAGAGTTGTCAGTAACAAGTGACAAGTCACTAGTCAAACTGCGACAATTTCGATGACGCGGAGGAAGTAGTCATATCAGCAATTTATAATGCTCTGGGGTCTGGCTCTATGCCAGTGGCCTAGATAGGATGTTTAGCTAATTTGTCTGGTTGTGGACCATGAGGTCCCTGAATCTGTTCCCACTTGGTGTCAGCTTGTAGCTGAATATCATGAATTTGGCACACTTTGCCGTTTGCGCTATCACAAAAATATGGTAGCCCAGCCTTTCCGTGTGCCGAAATCAATTTGCTCTATCTATCTAAGCTGGACCGTCCTTTGCCGTGGATGTTCAGTTATACGCGTAGAGCATATCTGACTTTTTTTCTTCTTTTTTCCTTTTTTTTTAAAGAATTGTATATTGCATACCTGCTTCCAACTGATTTCACTGGCTGCCATGAGATTTGTTTTAAAGAAATTATTTTTGTGCCTTGTGTACTTGTGTTATTTAGCCCACTCCGTTCGCTCCTCAGTCGACTATGACCGTAATCCGCATAGTATAGAAGTCTATGGATTTGACAGCCGTGTCAAGGCACACAGGTATGTAGCAAGCTACTCATGAGAAGAAGCCTACAGTTGCTACCAATGGTGCACAACTCCAAGAGTGTGAAACTGCTTTTACCACTAATATCTGTATTTAGCGGACCATGACCAGCAGAGAATTGCACCCAAAGCAGGGTTGCACATAACCCTGTAGCGATCATGCATAGGGTACAGGTTGTGTACGTGGGCTTGTCACGCCATGTGAACTCCTGCCGCCGCAGACCACGTAGACTGAAGTTGCGCACTCTTGGCTTTATGTACTCTTGCTACTACCAAGCGTGTATTATGCCAAGTCTGCAGCTACGCATATCAGTACAAGGAAAGTGAAAGTCATTATTTACATCTTTTCGGATGAGTCCTGCCAATTGTCATCCAGAACTACAGTTCTATACTGCATCCGTGCAACATGTCGTGTAGGATTTTAGTTCGGACCTTTGCCAAACGCGTATTATTATTATATCACTTACAAAAGCGATGTACGTCGTCTGTTCAAGCCAGGGTCCAGTGGCCCATATCTTGTGTACGGTGTATGTGCTGTTTGCCTGTAACTCATTTTGCAGTTGTTTTCGCTCTCTTCTTCCTATTGCTACAGTGTTCATCATCAAAAGTCCATAGTTCCTAAGATTTGCTGTTTATGTCGAAGAAGCATGTTTTATGGTGTGAAGTGCGGTGATTGCGGGTAAGCTTGCTACTACAGTCCATTCATAAAAAGATGGGTCCTGGCTCTGGCGAGCTCCCGTATTTGGCGATTTTTCGTGATTTCATCGTACACAGTGCAGTGCTGCGAACTTTGAAATTTGAAAAAGGGTCCAAAAAGGGTGCCTGAACTGGGGTTCGAACCGCAGAATGCCCTGTTGCAGGCGGGGTCAAACGGCCTGGATTTTGATGGTTTTTCCCAATTCAGTGCTTTTGGGGCAAAACCTGGCCGAAATCCTATTCTTGCTATGGCTTGCTTTTTGGACAAAAAAACTTCAGAAACATAATTGGAAGAGGATTCCATATGGGATTGCAGAAAAAAATTCTAAAAAAACTCAACGTTTGACCCATTTATGGCCAAAAGCTAGAAGTTCATTTTTTTCTGAATGGACTGTAGTCTATTGATTGATGTATGGTCTAGTGCGTCGGTTATAATTAAGGTTCAAACCAAAGGCCACTCGTATGTGAAACCCAGTTTCTGCTTTGGACCTGTAAACAGCTACCTTCTTCTAGCTGCTGCTCTTCTTGGAAGGGTGGTGACTTCTAGAAAACTTTCTGTCCCCATCTTCATATAATACTAGTAGTTTGATATTGGTGTGTGATGTGTTGTGTGACTGTCCACTGTCCAGTGCGCGCTATCATGAGGCGTGCTACTATCAGGCCGGTGCATCCTTTCGTGCTGTTCATCCTGAGCAGAATTCTAGACGAGGTATGAATTTTGTTCCGGCGATGGTGTGTGTGTGTGTGCTGTTAATCAACAAATAATCGGCGCAAGTTTGTTCGGCTATTTTCGGCCTGGCCCTCCTAGGCCTAAAATTTATTGCGGCCAAAATTTGGGTTTTCAAGTTTCAGTATGACGGCGTCTACTGGCAGCAGCAGTACTGGCTGAAATTTGATTGCGGCCGAAAGGTGTTTTCTCTCTCGGAGCCTGAAAGTTAAACGTGCCGAAAACTGTCTGTGTACTGCTGGTGCTGGTGTTGGTTTTAGGTGGGCTGGTGCTAGTGGTGTTGTTGCTGTGTTGTTGCTGCTGCTGCTGCAGGTGCTAGAATCAGTTATCAATCTGTTTCTCGTATCCATATATTGTGCTTATGTGCTGTGCAGAACCATGGTTACTTCGACTGTTTCGCCGCACTTCTACTGAGGTAGGTGGTATTTGCAAGAGTGCATGCATTAGACTCATAGCAGTAGAACTCTCCTTCCTTTTCCTCAGTACAATCTGCAGCCTCTACAGAGGATGTACAGAGGATGTACAGCCTATACTCTGTGCAGTCTTGTTTGCCCCTCTACTGCATTATTTTTGAGATTTGAAGAAGATGGGTGCTCAAGACGTTGGAGGTTACGCTTCCTGCTGATTGACTTGACGGGCTTGACGGGGGGGGGGGGGGGGGGGCTTTACACTGCCGCCGTCTGGAGCACACATAAACTACATGCAGCTTTCTTCATCTCAGCAAACCTGCAAGAAAACACCACTCCCTGATCATACTCAGTTTTTCCGGGAGTTCACCCCTCATCAGTTGAGCTTGAGAATGCTCTCTTAGCTAACCCGTTGCGTGCTGAGTACGAGTTAACTCGCGCTTTATGCATGAGCTGATCCACTACGTACGAGTTAACTCGCAAAAAAACTCGCGCGATATATCCGCAGTGCGTAGACCAGTGTACAAACTCTCGTAACTTCGTCGAACATAAACGCATCGCGACAATCAATATACCGTTGGAAAGGTCTTGACCTCATCTTTCGGGGGATATAAAGGTCTTCGCGATAGGATAAGAATTCATTGAGTGGCGACAAGATGAACACTGAAATCACGGCCCAGAGTGAAGGCGAATTTTTTTGTTCATGACTTCTTTTTGTGTTCATGACTTCTTTTTGTTGAGGAGCGTGCCAGGGGATTTCCCTTTGACACGGCGCATGCGTGATGGACATCAAATGAAGCGCTTGGATCCCAGCTTTGCAGCACAGTTTGAATTGTGAACATCGGTTGAATTTGGGCAAGAAGCCGAACAAGAATGTGAAATTGAGTTGTTGTGCCGTTCCGATGCATGGTGGAGTAGTTTGGAGAGGACGTGGAAGTGGCCCTCATGTGTCTATGGACCTGAGAGCTGCCAGGATGGATTCGCTTGGTCCTGACCTTTCCAACGAGCCCAGGTCGATGAAAATCTATCAAGGTTGCGTGAAATGAGAATAAATTTCGTTCGGAGCTGTGCTCCACCAAGAGAGTCAGTGCGCTGGAAAGCCAGTGGATTGGAGAAAAGGGGCTCAGCATGCAAAGGGTTAAAGTTTATACTGCATGAGCATTGCAATTATAACACACCAACAGCCCAAGCATCACTTGGGATACCAACTACATATGCTGTGACGCTCCATTTCTGGGGCGATGAACATCTCATGAGCACCAGGCAGCGGCGTTAGTCAGTGCTTCACGTGGAGTTGTGAGAACAGGCGCTGAACTTGCTGGCCAACTGGCCATTCTGATTCACAGCGCTGTCACCTCCAGCCGCCTAGGTATTTCCACGGCCGGGGTCACCAATAGGAACAAAGACTAAGTGCAAACTAAATAATCAACCACTGCTGGCTTCTTCTTCTCTTTGCCAAGCTCATTTTCATCCTCACCAAATTTGATGTTTTGTTGCTGTGATATACAGACACATCTACCTGGTCTGTCTACCAGTAGTGACTCTGGCCTTGGAGTGTCGGGAAATGAGAAACGTAGGTCACGATTATCTCTCCTGCTTTTCTCTTATCGCTGCCACCCATTATTCTTGTGGCAATTTCCAGCAGAGCAGCACCTATGCACCTAGGCTTGTGGCATAGAGCTGTTGAAATCCATAGCAAAGTTCGGTGCGCATCAGCCCAATCTGCACCAGGAGGCACTGGCGTTGGCCCAGCTCTCCGCCGGCCCCTGTGACAGCCGCCCCCACATGCATAGCCTATAGGCCTCTAGCACCTGTGCAGTACAAAGAGCGGTGGAAAAACTTGTTCAAACTCAAAAGCTACCACAGAGGAACTCCCTTTGGAGCTTAAATTGTTGGGTTTCTTCAGTAGTTAGGGGCTTTCATTGATGGCCACCCAGCGATGCCTTGTACTGCTGATCATGAAACCACATGTGTGACATGATCCTGTTGTGCACTCAGCGACTAGCCTGACATCACACTTGGAACCTTAGATGAAGTTAATGAAACACTGTGGATACGTTTTAACCTAACCTGTGTGTGTGTGTGTGTGTCTGTCTGTGAATGCATGTGATTTATTTGTTCCTACGTGTTGTAACCTACTAAGATCCCAGTATCTCATCTCTATCTGGTTACCGGTCGGGTGGTTCTAGCGCATCAACACCAGGAGGAAACTCTCAAGGTCATGGTCACTTCTTTCCCAATGCTAGTCACTCCGTTGACATGCACACTAATGCTGCTGGTCACCTGAAGGGTAAGCGGCCTGAGGCTAAAGTTGCACACGTCAATGCTAACGGTTCACTGTCATTGCCATGCCAATGGAATACAGAAGCAGATAGCTCTACGCACCATAGCTCCTGCCTGTGCAGACATTCCTCCGTCATATCCGATGTGCCGGAAGAGACCTCGACCACGACGAGCCGTGCCCAGTTACCCAATGCGCTGAGTCTGATGTCCACATCGTCCACACTAGCTGGTAGTGCTCCTCAGAGTGAAGTGCACACTCATGGGTTTGATTCCACTGCTTCAACAATATCAGAGTAAGTGCCCCATTCCTGCAGCCAGTCCACTGTGCTACTGGATTGCAGTATGTCTATATTATGTACTGTATTTGCCGCAGTATAACGCGCACCTGAGCATAATGCGCACTCCCTCTTTTGAGAAATGTTTTGGCGATTCAAGGTATATCAGGAGTATAATGCGCAGCCTAGATTTGAGAGCATCATCGACAGTAATAGCGACCATTTTCCATTTGTATAATGCACATGCTACCAATGGGGTCTCATACCCATTATGCATTAGCAGTGCAGCTGGCAGTAGACGCTAGAAATGCACACAGTCATATGGTTTGCTCCGGTTTAGAGGCAGCAAACTTCGCAATAGTTTGATGCATTCCACTAATTTTCAAAGTGCATGCACGTGCATTTCATATTCGGAGTATAGTGCGCACCTGCGATTTGGGGCCTGAAATAGTACATGTAAAGTGCGCACTATGCTCCAGCAAATATGGTGTGGACTATGTCTGTATATTGTCTGCTCCCTTTCTTCTGCTGCTTGGGCAACAGACATTGCCATCATAGTAGACACTAGAAATGCACACAGTTTCTCTCTCTCTCTCTCTCTCTCTCTCTCTCTCTCTCTCTCTCTCACACACACACACACACACACACACACACACACACACACACACACACACACACACACACACACACACACACATGTTCATGGCCTGTGTTGTATTTTGCTCCTCTTCTGTCTATCAGCACAAGATCATCACTACAATCAACATTCAATGACGAGGTGAGCTTGCATTTTGTTGTTGCGAATGTATCACCTTTCCATTAGACTGTTGTTATTCGCACTGCCATCTTGGTCACAGGGCACAGCATGCAGGATGGATGTAGGCAAATGGGTGTTTGCTCTTGCCATCGAAATGTATCATTATTTCAAAACTTATTTGCCAGTTGTTGTTATATCCGAGGTCGTTATTGGCGAGGTTGACTGTACATGTATAAATGCTTACTTGCCCTGTGCTTGCTTTGATTTGCTCAGACCACCACTCTCTATGGTTCTGAGATGAGCGCCAATGCAGACTTGGTTAGTTCATCTGGATCTGATACGGGAGGGTCGCGGAGATTTCGGGTGAGTACTCTGCCATAGTCATGACATGGTCACTCTTGTTTCCTAAATCTGCAAGTCTGCCGGGGTATTGAAAATGGCATGTGTTGATTAGGCTTGAATGGTATTGAGGAAGTAAAGATGTGTAAAGCCTAGTTCACATTCGACGGGGCGCGACAGGACGCAACGTAAGGATCGACGGGAAGCGACAGGACAGTCTGACGGCGTCCAATGTGAACACCAGGAACGGGAACGCAACCGTACTGCCATACGGATCGGGAAGCGACGGGAAGAGTTGGACCGATCCAACTTTTCATACCGTAGACGGGGACGCAAGCGTTCAAAACAGCTGCATTTTTAGTGTGAACAGGAGACGGCGTCGTGCGCCGACTGCTCCCGATCCGTACTTGGAAATTTTTAGCATTTCCAACACTGCGCTTCCCATGATAACTCGCAGAATGGCTAACACGACTTGAGTTGAATTTTAGCAAGATAAGGTCTGGTGTCACGTATGGTATTTAGGGATAGTTCAGTAGCGTGACAGACGAACTGTTTTATCATTTCCTGGAGCTATTATTTGAATGGCACACCTTTCGAAGCTACTTTTTGGTCTTCATGAAAAACTGGTACAGGTCGTCCCCCGTTAATACGAGTCCGGTTAGTACATAAACCCCGTTAGTACATAAGAAATCTCAAGTCCCGGACGAAATGTGGTCACTTCCATACAAATTTTGTCGGTTAGTACATAATTCGTTAGTACATAAACCCCGTTAGTACATAACATTTCTCCGTACCCGCATGTCACCTACCTCAATAGTACATAATTTATTGGTCTTTTAGCCTTCCAGTGGAGGCACATCATGTTCTAGTTTCTACTTGTGGACGCAATTGGCTCAGAAATCAGAGCGCACATCACAACCTACAAAGCTCTGTTTTTTCCGAGTGACTGTACAGGCGCGGCTGGGCATGTATCATGTAAACTGTAGAATCTTCGCTAACTCTGACCGTTATAACATAATTAATATGTTATATCGAGGGAATCAAGAATATCTCGGTGCCTATTCATGGTAGCAAGAAACACTCAGAAAAGTTGAAAAAAGTGAAAAATTCTGGTACACAAGCAAGTTATGTACACTTTCGTTTAGTACATAAACCCCGTTAATACATAACATTTGTCAAGTCCCAGAGATTATGTATTAACGAGGGACGACCTGTATTATGAACTTGATTCCACTTCATTCAAGGAGAAATAGTTGAAAAGAAGTCCCGAAAGACAAGAAATTAGGCCCAAAAGTCACCCTGTCACAGACCGTGCCTTATGACTGGCGCCGTTCGCTGTTGAACGACGCAACGACTGCAGCATGTCGTGTCGTACGAATCGTACAAGATTTTACAGCTCACCCCAGCCTTCCCGACAGACAGGCAGCGTTGCGTCGAATGTGAACTAGGCTTAATTAAATAAAGTGTCATGGATTTCTGTGAAGAAAATTGACAATTTGATAGAGCAATATTCCGTATTGGGTATTTCAAATTTGGCTTCAAACCAGTCCTTGCCTTGTGTGTTTGGGACTCCCATTTCTTGTGTGTTTGGGACTCCCATTTCTTGTGTGTTTGGGACTCCCATTTCTTGTGTGTTTGGGACTCCCATTTCTTGTGTGTTTGGGACTCCCATTTCTTGTGTTTTGGGACTCCCATTTCTTGTGTGTTTGGGACTCCCATTTCTTGTGTGTTTGGGACTCCCATTTCTTGTGTTTTGGGACTCCCATTTCTCTACGCGTCTACTAGTGTACTCAGTACAGTTCAAGTCATATTTGCTGACCGGCAGTTTGAAATGCAATACTTTGTGCGTGGGTGAACAAAATACAGAGGCTAGGGCTGCTGCTGCTGGTTGCGATGGTTCTGCTGCTTGTGGTTTGGCCTTGCTCTTAGTTGAAAACTTGGTTTTCATAGTTCTTGTGTATGTGTGTGTTTTTTCTGGTGGTGGCTGTCTTAGCAGTGCTTGCGTGGTAGCCTGGTGACAGAATGGGAGATTCGCATGGAGGAGATCAACATGTCTGATCAGCTACCGCAGGGCAAGTTCGGTCGGGTCTTTAGGTATGTTTCTTCACTATCACCTGTTTTCTGTCTCTGGCTCTCTGTGTGTCTGTCTGTCTGCGTGTGTATTTTTCTTCTCTTTGGTTCTTATCTCCATAGCTCTTGTTGTTGTTCTGGTTGTTTTTAATGATGATGATGATGATGATGATGATGATGATGATCTTCAGGTACCTGGCCAGGTTATCGATTCGGAGCTTTTGCCAGCTCTCCTGGGCCATGGGTTCGACCCCAATAGCTCACAGCGGGAGCTTCTCTCTCTGCCAACGAGATGTGGTGGTCTTGCTGTGCCGATTCTGCCTTCCCTGGCGCCTGTGGAGTATGCGGCCTCAACAAAGATCACTGAGCCGTTCGTGCGCCTGATTGTACCGCCAGATACATTAACGCCTCCAGAAGAGGCACCTGCTGCTCCATACCAGTCCTCCACACAGCCTCTGACCGTTGCGGGCGCGGAACAGCCTCACAACGTTCGGGGCCATTCTCCCGGGTTGATTTTATCGTCATCTCTACCCGATGATTTCCGCCTACATCCTGTACCACGGCCGGGGATCACTAGCCTGGATGACGCGGCCGGAGGCTCGGGCGCAGATGTTACCCTTGATGCCATCGGGGATGTTCGGCAGCGGGCACGTCAGTCACGTCAGCAGCGGCAAAAGAAACAGGATGAAAGAGTGGCACAGTTGCGCCCCATGCTACCGCCGGCGCAACAGCTTTTGTTGGAAACGGCTGGTGAGAAGGGTGTTTCAAATTGGTTATCCTCCATGCCGTCTTTCATAACGCCCAGTTCAATCCTGAGCAAATCGGATTTTCGTGATGCTGTTTGTATTCGATATGGTTTGTCATTGGAGGGAGTGTCCAGTTCCTGTATTTGTGGGCAAGACATGACAATAGATCATGCCATGAGTTGCCCGGCGGGTGGTTACCCAATTGCAAGACATAACGAGATCCGGGACATTCTGTCAGAAGCTATTCGGGAAATACTACCAGATGTGGAGAAGGAGCCTCTTCTCAAGCCGTTCGAAGGAGAAACATTACCACATCGAACTGCGAACCGGTCTTTGGAGGCGCGTCTGGATATCAGGGCGCGGGGCTTCTGGACCCGGCAGCAGGATGCCTTTTTTGATGTACGGGTAACACACCCGAAGGCAAGCCTGCTGTCGCGTACAGACGTCCTGCGTCAGCTGAAGACCCATGAACAGGCCAAAAAGAGAGAATATTGTGCCCGTGTAAATATTGTAGAGAGAGCATCATTTACACCGTTAGTTTTTTCAACTTCAGGCATGTGTGGGCCAGAGGGGTCTCGTTTTTTGAAAAATTTGGTATCGCTTGTTGTTGAGAAAAATCCTGAGTTACATTATTCTGTAGTCATGGGACAACTTCGATCTGTATTGTCGCTGTGTTTGCTCCGCTGGTGTATTACCTGCATACGTGGTTCGCGGGCATCATACAAGCGCCAGCGCCACAGCTTTTTAACGAGCTGCCATACCCTTAGAGCACGTTGATGTGTACGGGTGTCTTATGTTTGTTCTTTTATTTTCCATTATGAGCCGGTCTTCTGCGATTGGTGGCCCCATGCCCCATGCTCATTGTGTTCAACTGCACTTTGCGTTCCTTTTTATATTGAGTTCCAGTGCACTTTGTGTTCATTTTCCTCTCTTTTTTCATTCTAATTGAATTTTGATGTATTGCGTTTTTGCTTGCCCGTACAAGAGGCTGTTCAAATGATGATGATGATGATGATGATGATTACATTTTTTTAATTCCCACCTTCCAACCCAGCAAATATTTAGATGATGATGATGATGATGATGATGGTGTTGTTCTTGTTGTGTTTGGAATGGGCTATACTTGCAGAGGGAACTGGCATGGTGAGTGCGCCGTACGTCTCTTCCAGAAAGATGATGCATCGCATGACAATGTGGTTGCATTTCGCAAGGAGGTGCAGCTGATGAAGAAGACGCGGCACGAGAACATTGCTTTATTCATGGCGGCCGTTGTGCGCCCTCCAGACTTGGCCTTGGTGACGGCCTTTATCAAGGGCAAGTCATTGCATCAGCTAATTCACATGGAAGGTGAAAGGCTAGCTGCTGAAGCAACTAGACCTATTGCCAAGCAGATTACACAGGTAAATGGGTTGCTGCTGCTGCTGCTGCTGTCGCTGCCACCACTGCTGGTACAGTGAGTACTACTCCACTTGCTTTGCTTCTTGTCAAGCTCAAATGTTTGGGTACAGAACTAAGGCATTCATGAAGTTGTTGAGGACCTGTGTTGGTCTAAGCCAGTGTGGAAGAGCAGACTAATCATGCTCCCCCACCCTGCAACGGTGCATGCTGGATGATGTCTCTGTGACTGTTGGCAGTGTTGCCTGATGAGTGATATCAAGAGTACATAACCCCCCCCCCCCCCCCAAAGTGTGCAACTCCCACATACCCTGCTGTCCCGACAGAATTTCAAGTTGACGTCATTATTTATGACGCAATGCTCCTTGCACCAGTGATTTACAACATGTGTACGGGTGTCAACGCATCACGCGTTTTTCTTTGCAATAATTTGTACAGGATCGATCGGCTTCAGTCAACCACAGGTTCCGGATTCGTCTGATAATCTGTGTACAGTGCGCATTGCATCATCAAAATGACGTCAACTTAAAATTCTGTCGGGACAGCACCCATAGTCGAGTTGCACCCTCTGGGGGGGGGGGGGGTTATGTGCTCGTCTCGTGGTGATATCATTTGACTGCTGCGTGCTGAGTGATAGACAAGCACTGATTGTACCATCTTCATCTCTTCCTCCAAGGCCCGTACTTTTCTTTTCCCACGGCTTCTTGGTTTACTGCATTCCAGGCAATGAAGGGAATTTGTATGGTTGTGCTTGATAATGCCTGCAACTAGGCATGGTGATTGGCGTACTTCAGCTGTGTGTACATGTGTGTGTGTGTGTGTGTGTGTATTGTAGGGTATGGCGTATCTGCATACACGCGGAATTGTCCATAGAGACCTGAGATCTCGTAATGTGTTCATTGACGCCACTGGCCACATTGTCATTAGCGACTTTGCCATGTCCTCTATTCTCTTGGGCTGCTGTGATCGCAAACAGGTCAAACTGAGGTATGTTTATCTTATGGTAGCCCTCACGCACACTTGCACACACACACACACACACACACACACACACACACACACACACACACACACACACACACACACACACACACACACACACACATAATCCATATACATACATGTTGAAATATGCATGTACAAATCTACACAGTCATGCTGTTTATTGTGATAGAAAGACCAGTCGTCAGCTATGACTAAATGTGCCATGGACAAGCCAGTCATCAGCTATGACTATAATAAATGCGCTTTGAAAAGGCCAGTTGCTGGTGCTACTACTATGTTGTCGGAAGAATGAAAAACAAAACAAAAACTTCATGGCTTCAATCAACCAGTTAGTTCTTGTGAATAGAGCTCTGAATCAGGTCATAGTGACTACAAGTCAGTCTGAACACAGGGATGATTTGATTTCTTTTAGTGACTTACTTTCAGTGCTAACTTCAGTTAGGAAAATTGCTGCATGCACTGCATGTGCAAGCTGTTCGGATCACATCTTTCCTTTCCCTTCATCAATTTTGGCAATTTTAGGCTTTCTAAGAGGAAATTTAAGTTGATGTGGTTTGGCCATGTTACGAGACATGACGTTTTCTCCAAGCCCTTCCTGCAAGGATCAACTCCTGGATCTCGACCGAGAGGAAGGCCCGCGACATCATGGATTTCTAACATTAAAAGTTGGACGGGTCTTCCCTTGCATGCTCTCTCTCATGCAGCACACGATAGAGTTGGATTCAGAGACATCATTCACAATTCTCTCGCTGATTAATGCCTCTACGATCACCTTGTGATTATGAGTTATACACACATACATACATACATACATACATACATACATACATACATACATACATACATACATACATACAAGAGGACCACACCGGAGCAAATTTCAACAGCTACAATGCAACTACACCGGTACTATAGTCCTGGAAAGACGTATAAAACGGGACTTTTACACAATAGACACACTTAGCAAAAATGTTATGTTGTAACAGTATTACCGTAAGGGGAAAATACCGAGATTGGGGTTCAGCCTTTAGCAAGATGTATGCAAGATGTATGCTACTTTAGTACACTGTTGCCATGAGAATAGCTTTTATTCCCGTAGCTATGCAGAAGACGTTACTTCAGTAACGTCTGGCGCTAGCCAGGGTCCACACAGCTTTAATTTGGTGTTTGTGTGTTTGTGTCACGCCTGGCGCTATCCCGTATCTCTCCCGTACCGTACCGTACCATCAAACACAGCTGGCCACAAACAGCTGGCCGCAATATTCAAATAGGGCTTTCAAACGAAAGATCATAACGTGAAGCAACTTGGAAGAATGAGTATGAATGCGAAGGGTATGGGGGAATGCATGTAGGGCGATAGCGCGGGTTCGAATCCCAGGTTATGCCTAAAAAATAGGAGAATTGAAAATTTATGGTATCCCTATGCTTTTTTTGCGTAGGTCATCAAGGCGGTAGACAGTGTCGTATTACCCTCGATCGTACCTGTCCCGTATCTGTCCCGTACCGTGCCATCAAAGACGGCTGGCCACAATGCATATTCAAATAAGGCTTTCAAATGCAAGATCATAACGTGAAGCAACTTGGAAGAATTAGTATGTATGCGAAATGTGTCGGAGGATGCATGCAGGGCGATAGTGCGGGTTCGAATCCCAGGTTATGTCTTAAAAAAAAGGAAATATTTTTATGAATTGACAACATCCGTATGCTTTTTTTGTGTAGGTCATCAAGGCAAAAAAGCATAGCATAGGGCCCTGAGCTTGCAAGCTCTCTCGTTTCGCACGGTACAACCATTTATGGCACCACATGCGCGATACAAGGTGAAATGCGTACGGACTACACAATATTTGGCCAAAAACGTACCGTTTGTCACAACGATAAATCAGCCCCCATAACGTTTTTACGTTGCAACTGCAACGCTATATGGGTGATCAAGGTACGAGTACCGTAAAAAATAGCGTTGCCGTGTGTGTGTGTGTGAAAGGGTGTCTAATGTGCTAAAATCCCTGGTATTTTTGTAATATTCATCGAAGCGCACCGTTTTTTTGTAGCTAACAGCTAAAGATCCGTACCTGACGTCACACTGGTCTGTGAATGCCTGGACTGTCAGGTAACAGGGAGAAATCCCTTGAATGGCACTTCGCACGGAAGTGAATATGAGCTAAATACCTTGCGAGTGCCTTAACTCCACTATTTGCCTTCGGATCGACTTCGGACTTGTTCATAACTGCTACTGAAAACTTTCTAATGTGCTCCGAAACCAGTTGTACTAGAAAAAAAGGGGCCAGCATTGAAAAGATTAATACTCCAGATGTGAGCTTTATAGCTCGTATATGAGCCATTGTAGTTGGAATTGTCCAAAAACTTAGGTCGGTAGAAAAGTGGGGAGGTTATTTTAAACTCCGCACAATACAGCTGGCGTGCGGTGAGATTAGAACTTTGTGTGTGTGTAATTCCTGGTAAGGCATGTATGGCTGTGTGTGGGTATGGGTGTGTGTGTTTGCTGATATCAGACATGACAAGTACGGATTGGAGCTTCGGCGAGGCGTTGTTCAGTCACTGGCACCGGAGCTTATTAAGCAGCTCAACCCCTCTGATGCACATCTCTCCGGATTAACATTTAATCAATCTACGGATGTGTTCGCTTTTGCGTAAGTCTCATTGTGTGTGCGCGCGCGTGTGTGTGTGTGTGTGTGTGTGCTGTTGAATGGTGTAATCCCAGCACAAGTTGCTATGTCTAACATAGCTGTTCGCTATCATCGCTTCCGCGATGGGCATGTCTGAGGTCTGAGATGTGTGTGTGTGTGTGTGCGTGCGTGCGTGTCAGTGCATTCATGGCTGGGGTGTTGGTATGTCTATTGGCTCTGGGCTCCCAGAACTCAGTTGCTGAGGCTGGTAGGTAAAGTAGCTCTAATTTCACTTCAATGTACCAGTGCATGTAGTGCTTGATTGTTTCAAAGAAGCTTTGCTGTCTATACTGGTCACCCCAGCAAGTGTGATGTATGCATAGGTTACAAAGAAGGTGACTGTCTTGGCCATTCCATTCCGGTGTGCTCCGTGTGGTGTTGCCGTGTAGACTAGGTGTGCATTGGGGGTAGATTCACATGGCTTCATCAGTAATGTGGAATGAGCAGTTATCTGGGGCAAGTCTTGATCTGTTTTATTCAGATCTTGTCTGCTATCCGTGCTATAAAGAGAAAATCTGTGGGTCCACATCCTGTGCATTTGCAGATCTATGTGCTTCTCTTGCGACGGGCGCACATGATACATGGTGTGTTCTCAATGCTTGGGTTTCTTGTCCAGTGGAACATTAGCATTGTCTTTATGCTGTCAACCCCCTTCTCTCTTAGAGTGTCCTCGTTTCTTTATTGATAGGTGAATGGTACGTATGTCCGTATGTGTCCGTGTCTTGGTGTGTATGTGTTCTTTGTGTCTGTCTGTCTGTCTGTATGTGTGTGTATGTACGTATGTGTACGTATGGCTGTTGTTGCTGTTCAGGACTGTGATTTATGAGTGCATGCAGGGCTGGCCAGTTGTGAACGAGAATATCCACACCTTGATCTACATCTTTGGCAATTGCCTTCATGTGGACTGTGTTGGATCCATTGTTTCTGAGTTCAAGGTGAGTTTCAATAATTCTGCTGCTGCTGCTATATCTGCTCAACACAAGCATTTGTATTGCAATCAGTAGGATGTGAGAAGAACAATGGCAGCATAGATACTATTCAAATGTAATTCGAACTTGAGTAAAACCTGTGTAAGATGACCGCCGCTGGAGGGATCTTTAAAACCTGCTGCTCTCTGTTACCAGGTGGGCTCTCCTTATCCAGTCTCATTGGACTGGACATAACATTCCTTTGTCCTAGTTGTAGTGGTCTTCTAGGACAGGTGGTGGTGGCGGTGACCTTATCAGTGTGCTCGCCTTGACAGGTTTTTTCTGTAGGTGATGATTCCAGCACTATTATTCTTCACACGTTTCTGCCAATGCAGAAGAGCTGCTCTAGAGTGTTTCAGCTGTGCAGCCCTCAGCCAGTCAGCCCGCACACTGCTGTAATGGACATCTGCCTGTCATGTGTGTGTCTGTGTGTGTGGTGGTGTTTGTCGGTGTGGTGGTGGTGGTGGTGGTGTGTGTGTGTGTGTGTGTGTGTGTGTGTGTGTGTGTGTGTGTGTGTGTGTGTGTGTGTGTGTGTGTGTGTGTGTGTGTGTGTGTGTGTGGTGATGTGTGTGTGTGTGGTGATGTGTGTCTGTGTGTATGGTGGTGTGTGTCTGTGTGGTGGTGTGGTGGTCCGCTGCAGGATATGATACTCCGTGCTTGGTCGCCAAATGCTGAGGACCGCCTCAATTTTACCTACTATGAAGAGTTGATCGGTCGCTTTCCCCGAAAACTGCACCAAATGTCACGCGTACCCTCGTACCCCATGGTGTGTATGGAGGCAAACTTTTAAGCGCCTTCTCTTCGGTTGTGATATCTTGTTCTGGTGTTGTCATTCTCATCACTGGCGTTAGCAGCAACAAAAGCAGCAGCAGCAGTAACAACAACAGTAACGACAACAGTAATAACAACAACAATAACAACAATAACAGCAACAACAGAACATTGACATACTAATGTTTGGTAATCAGCGACACAATATTCTGTCCGTTCCTGGCAATTTTAGCACCGTCTCGATCCTGATGTCTGTGTACATCAGAGGATGAAGATGATAGCGGCGATGGCGGCGTCACAAGCTGTGTTCATATCATCATCACTCACTCCCCCCGGCATGGTTGTTATCATCGTTGTGTATCCTATCACCGAACCACACTTAAACAAACCCACACGCACGCACACACACACACACACACACACACACACAGGCTATTCTTGGCGTTCATCTCTTGCCCTGCACTATCATCACCACCCTGCTATCATTACGACTGTATCTTCATCAGCATTGTCATCCCCATCCCGGCTGGAGCATACTCTCTTCTAGTCATCTGTTGAAATCGTCAGGAATGACATGTCACAGATGCATATTGCCAGTGACCTTGTCATGGTTACTACCCTTTGTTGTTACTCCATCCTCCTGCTGCACTGCACTCGCTGCTGCTGCATATGGCAGTAGTCGACGTCATCATCATCATCATCATCATGGTTGTCGTCTTGCTCTGCACCGTGTACACAGTACACAGTACAATGCTACTGTTGCTGGCTATGGCTACACCCACGACATATGCCACTGTCCCCGCTCACTGGTCAATGTCTCCGTGCCCTACTGCATTCTCTGGAACAAATTTGTCCGTTGAGAAATTCATTGGCCGTTGAGCAGCCGTCGTCTGTCTTTGCCAGGGAGCTGGAACTTGTCGGTGATTCGATCATTATCTCTGTCACCTCTGTTGTTGTGATTGCTGTTGTTTCGGTAGCTCTCGCGTTACCTCTGTCTGTTCCGTACTCGAGCAATATGTGGCTGGCTGTCTTGCAGGCGATGGGCCTTCACCATCTAAATAGCTCTTCTTGATTGTGCATGCCCGTGCTCCTATTGATGCAGTCCGCTTGTCTTCGCATCCTGTCATGTCAGTGTTGAGGAACGTATCCATCAGTGTGTTTTGGTCGATGCGCCATCCCAGCCAACTCTCCTCCGTTTCAGCTTCAGAATCTATTTAAATCATTTTGTTCAAATTCCTAGTGTCAGGGAGGTGTTTGTATTCTTCTTCGATCAGCAGGCTGTGCCCCTGATCCGCTTTCTGTCTTTTAGCTCCTGCTCCATGAGGAAGGACCCCATTGGTGCAGTTGGTTGTTGTTTTAACTTACATTTTGGCTGGTCTCAAAAATCATCTTGGCTTTACTGGACTTCCCTGGATGCTGTTGTTTCTGTCAGATTCTCTTTCCTGGATTTGGTTACTAGACCAGTAGCGATATGCTGCTGTAGCTGCAGCATTGATTATATGCATATCTTACAATTGATTATTCCTTCTTCTCCTTTCTTTTTTTGCTGCGGTCCATATTTCCAAATAGAGAGTGCCATTTTCATCGTCTACACGTTTATATTTTATACGCTGCTTTCTGCAACTTGCTGCACTTGAGCTTGAACTTGAACTGGGGAGAGTGTTTTCATGTACTGTGTATCTCAACATTGTGTTTTTTAACTCGCGGCAACAACAATGACAACAATAATAATAATAACAACAGCTCGAAGTAGTAATAGTATTTATGTTTTGAGTGATGGTGGCGCCTCTCCCAGCCTCTCTACATGCAGTATGGTGTTGGTTTTCAGCCTTTTGAATTTCTCCAGAGAAAAGAGTATATTTCGTCTTGAAACACGCATCCCCGTGCTTGAATTGGCTATATTTTATACGGTTCCCTAGCGTTGAGGTTATTGTGCCAACAAGTGTCTTTGTTCTCTATAACATGGAATGCTTTTTACTCCATTGTTTCACCTAGTTATCTCTGTCTACTTTAGCAACTTTACTGTGTCTATATTGCTGCTGACTGCTGACTACTGTCTTACACCACCACCAGGCTGTAGGACACTACTGTCTTACACCACCACCAGGCTGTAGGACACTACTGTCTTACACCACCACCAGGCTGTAGGACACGTGCAGTACAGTATAGGGTACCTGTCGTCGTCCTCCTCATTTTTTTTTACACCCATTGCCGACTTATTTTCCACATTTCCACCCCGTCTCTGCTATTGTGCAGTCATCTAATCTCTCTATACTAAGTATCTGTTCCACTGTACAGCTTGGCTGTGCCAGTGCTTTGGAAGCCGTGGAGGTGGTCGTGTGTGCCTGTGTGTGTGTGTGTGTGTGTGTGTGTGCGTGCGTGCATGTGTGTGCACGCGCGCATGTGTGTGCGGTGTGTGTGACAGTAGCTCTGCCAGTCCAGTGGCATGCACCATGGAATGCAGGAGTTGGGTGGGGTTCTCATCTATGTTGTGGGTTGGACTCCATTTTTACAACAGAAAGGACTGCCGACATCGGCAGAACCCAGTGAAGGCCATTGTGAATCACACAGTCACCTGTCCAGAGTGCTTTGATGTGCTTATGCTTCAGATCCAGTTCACCGGCTTACTGGTATAATAATGTTTTCGACTTCGACAGTGCAACTTGTGGGCTGGTAAGACTCTTAAAGAGTCCGGGCAGGTTTGCTTTTTTTCAAATCCTGAGTCCCAGTGCTTGTTTTGTACCAAGACTCAAGAACCTTTTTCTTCTCTCGCTCTTCTTCCTGACTTGAGAATGTAAATAATTATTAGTTTCTAAGTCTTGTCACCAAACTACTGTACATAGACATAGTTCCTGTTGTCTAATGCTGACTAGTAGTGGTGCGTATAACTAAAGAACATAACAGGTGCCAAAGCATGGTACATGTATGTGTGTTCATGGTCTACCAGGTCTACAGTAAAAGGGCTTTTACGACTCCCTGGTCTACAGTTACCACAGCAACTAAAATGGCGTGTGTTCGCCTTTTTTTTAATAATAATAATAAGAAAAAATTATTAATTTTGCTAAAAATGTAGAGTCATTATCATGTCGGGTGCATGCAGGCATAGCAAATCGCTCACGCGGCTCAGGTAACTGGTTGTTCTTTCTACTCCTACTTTCTAGAGTTTAGTGAGTTCTGTGAAGTTAGTTCCTTGAAGTACGACTCGTAGTGCTCACTTGACACAGTTGGACGAAGGTTTGAAACTTAGCTAAACTAAAACTTAGGCTAGCAGTGGCGACTCGTACTGTTAGCGCGGAGGCTCGAGTCGAGGCTTCAAGACGGTAATTTACCGGTCAAGCAGCGCGTTATGTGTAGCTTGTAGGAGGATTGAACACCCAGCATTATCATAGCATAATAGCTGCTGGTCCGCTGTTTCTCTGGGTAGAATGTAACCTGGCTGTTGTTGAACAGCAGAAGAAACCGTTCTGTGGACATGTACTTCACGTTTGCCATGCAGGCAGCGCGGCCCGACTTGTCGTTAGGCGTAGGGGCGTTCGTGTGTTGCAGAGCTGTAGCTGTTGTGTAGAGGTGGTGATGGACAATGAGGACACACAGTCATTGGCACAGCGCTAGCTGTTCTGCAGTGACGTCATTGTAGCCACATCCTGGTACTGTGCTGTGTTGTTGAAGATTGGCATTTGTACAGCGATATTTTCTGGACTGGCTCCGTTCCAGCATTAGTTAGCTGGCTAGTACTTCGAAGTACATGTACTTGGCTTGAGCAGTAGCAGCCGGCTGATTGCGCTAGGGCCACCACTTAGTATACAGTCCCGCACTGACAACGCACTGTATTGATAACTGCCGACGTCTGCAAGAACAAGAACAAGCGGCACAACCAGAACGGGTAAGTGGATACCTGGCTATGACCTGCATACTTCCTTCTGATATCAAGAGTAAAATGGCCTCCCTAGAGAGCGTGCAAGTCTGCATGGAGGTTCTCCAATGACAACAATTCACAGCACGTGTACCAAGTACGAAGGCCAGCGTGCGCGCAATAGGCATATTGGCATCGTGTACGAAATCCCGTAGAATCCCGTGTACCTGGTTGGGTGATGAATATACAGGACCCTACCATAAAAGTCTGTAAATAAGTACCTGCCCTGAATAAATACCCCGTTTATCCTTTGACTTTGTCTGCTGAAACCAAGTAACAGTTCAGCCCGATAAACACACGGCCATACGGCCCGAAATAAGTACCCGTACAGTTTGCACATGCAGTGCGTAGCATGTACATCGACACAAAATGACTTCTTCGCTACACATAAGTCGGGTCCGAAAGTTAGTACGGATGTGACCACTAAATTCAAAAGTAAATACAGTCAAACCTCGTTAGTACGAACACTGATAAAGCGAACTTTCCATTAGTACGAACACTGATAAGGCGAACTTTCCATTAGTACGAACACTGATAAGGCGAACTTTCCATTAGTACGAACACTGATAAGGCGAACTTTCCATTAGTACGAACACTGATAAGGCGAACTTTCCATTAGTACGAACACTGATAAGGCGAACTTTCCATTAGTACGAACACTGATAAGGCGAACTTTCCATTAGTACGAACACTGATAAGGCGAACTTTCCATTAGTACGAACGGAGGCCAATCCTATAGTTGGCCCGGCATCATATCAAGCCAAAATTATTCCTTTACGACGAACCCTGTAGGGCGAACTTTCTGAAGACGAACTTATTCGAGCGTGATCTGAACAAAATCAGCATGTAGTAAAAACTTTCAATCCACATGCGTGCACTGGCTGTAGTTTTTTTTCCGATAGCCGAGGCCTCTTGTACGGGCAAAACAAATTGACAGCATGGTACAGGGCGGAGGACATTCTGTCATGAATTGAATTCATTGCACATTGTACTTACCTGTTGCTGGCTTACTCTATGAATAAAATGCTTTACATGTGTCACAACAGGCACCTTCACATAAATGCGATTCATATGATATGCATACACAAGGTTGCTTGATGATCGTAGTAATACGTGAAACTCAGAGTTGTAACAAAGCTTCCAAACTCTCTCTTGTGTGCAAGGCTCTGCCCTACATGGGCATTGAGCACTCTTTGGACAGTGAAGCACACCACTTGACTATGATATGCATATCATTTTTTTGTCAGATCTGGATAAGAAGAACTCCGGATAAGAAGAATAAACTTGTCACAGTCCCTTGAAGTTCGTCCTAACGAGGTTTGACTGTGCGTACTTATCTACAGACTTTTACATACACCTGTACAATGTGCATAAGGGTTATCCGTCATGATCATGCTGACTCAGTGACTCGTATAAGCTGAGTGGGTTTCTGTCAGGGAGTGCTATTTTTAGTACTCCTCTGCTCACTAGAACCAGACTGGTCACATGCAATGTAAGCCACACTGCACCATACTCGTATGATGTGAGTTTTCGCAGTCGGCGGTGGACCCCATAGCCGCAAACCAGGCCTGCCGCCGCAAACGCATGTAGAGTTGCACATTCCTGGGAGCCTATTCACTCTGGGTGATATGAGTAGTGTTTGCCATGTATACATTACATTGAATCAACTCGGGCAGTACCATCGGTCAGTGTCGTGCAATGTTATCGCATGAGCTGATTGTTTAGTAACTGGTGGTGTTAGTGGACATTATAGCGTAACTTGTAGTGTAGCATGTGTAGCGTTGTACTGTCAACCCCGTACCTCCGGAGCTCCCCATGTCCCAGCACTGGTAACGGCTACTTCAGTATCACGGTACGGCTGCATGTGCACAGTACAGCAGTTGAAGATGCCAGTATGCATGCATGCACTGCTCATGCTTTGGCGTGGCCGCGTGCTGTGTTGGTGCAGTGCAAGCTTCTGGGGTTGGATTTGACTTGCCAGTCCTGTAGTTTCACTCGTCCGCACGGTTTCCTTGCAGTTGCTGTGAAAATCCAGGCGGATCACCCGCAAGACGGGGGGGGGGGGGGGGCACTGTGGTGATACTTAGTGCTATTGGCAATAACCTGGTTCAAGTCCTGCATACCCCCCGTAATGCTGCCATGAACTCACTCGATTAGAAGACGGGGCTTCTATTTTTTCAATGCCAATGTTGAGGAGGCTTCTATTCAAGAGTGGCTTCTATTATTTCAATCCACACCAGTACTTCAATTGAGTCCCTAAAATGTTCATGTTCAAAGCAACTCGGCCTCGGCTTCTAATCGAGTGAGTATGGCAGTTGACCTACGCCCCTAACCACATCAAACATGAATTGATGCCGTCATGCACGTATGTTGTCTGCTGTAGGATTGGTAGGACCCGGGGGACCGGGGGCATCTTTGGGTCAGTTTACTAGTCAGTCGGACCTGGATAACCTCTCCACATACAGATCATAACTTCACTGATAAATCACCATGGCAGAAGCTCACTGACCAGGTCCGAGTGCAGCAGCTGATAGATTTCCTTTGCACGGATACCCACACAGTCACCCTCAGACACTGGCCACCCCTCCCTGCTGCATTCAGAGAGAGATGAAGTGGCGTAAATGCAACATTAGAGACCATTCTTGCCATGCACTTTGCAATGGCACGAACCCCACTCGGAGTAGCCGGTTTTAATAGAGGCGTGCATGCTCTCGTATAAGCAAGGATGTCTACATAGCTCATATAACTCCTCAAACCTACTGTCGCGGACATGGAAATCCAGTCGATTGACCCGGGCCAGCGCCCTCAGCGCGTACAGAACATATGTCGTTGTATGCAGTGCGAAATCATGTTGATCCGATGCGACCAGCAGCAGCGCATAATATTACGTGCTACGGTTGCATGGCCAGCGCCCTGGGGCCGCTAGGCGTGCGACCGGATTTCCATGTCCACGACAGTAGATAACAAATGAGCATTTGATTAGTACTCCTCCCGATTAGTACTCCTCCCGAGCATTCGATTAGTACTCCTCCCGAGCATTTGATTAGTACTCCTCCCGAGCATTTGATTAGTACTCCTCCCGAGCATTTGTTTAGTACTCCTCCCGAGCCCATTATGACAGTGTGATGGGTTTCTCTGGAGCAGATGGAGACAGCTGAGCAAATCCTAATTGTGTTTTCGAATTAACCGAATATGAAGAGAATGAAATTGAGAAAGTTGAATCTCCATGTTTGAAGCTATGATACTTACTATTACTTGGCATGATGAGGGTTAGAAGCTATGATACTTGGCATGATGAGGGTTAGAAGCTATGATACTTGGCATGATGAGGGTTAGAAGCTATGATACATGATGATGAAACATAGTGATTGTAGTATTGCTTTCAGCGCAGCATAGTGACATGCATGATGTGTATGGCGTGTTGTGCAGTGAGGTAGAGCGGGTGGTTGGCTAGCTGTACGCACCTAGTCAAGATCATTGTGACATCATGCATGTCACGATAGATAGAGCAGGTAGCCAATCAGTAGGTGTGAAGTTCAGAGCCAGAATAGGCTATAAAAGTAATCATTCCAGGAGGGGATGGTGGTCGGGGTTTGGGATGGCTGAAATTTTACATTTTCTTCTCCTGGCTTGTTTCTCCTTCATGCACCTAGTCAAGATATGAAACTGATTGGTTAGAGCAGGCAGCCAATCAGTAGGTGTGAAGTTCAGAGCCAGGATAAGCTATAAAAGTAATCATTCCGGGAGGGGATGGTGGTCGGGGTTTGGGATGGCCGAAATTTTACATTTTCTTCTCCTTGCTTGTTTCTCCTTCTTCATGCAGAAACAACAAGGCTCCTTCTTCATGCAGAAACAACAAGGCTCCTTCTTCATGCAGAAACAACAAGGCTTGTTTCTCCTTCTTCATGCAGAAACAACAAGACTTGTTTCTCCTTCCTCATGCAGAAGCAACAAGTTGCATGTTCTCGGCATTGCATTTCATTTTCTCGGTATTGCATTTTCTCGGTGGGGGGGGGGGGGGGCTTGCTTCTTTCTGGGAGCAAGCACTGATTCTTCCTCCTCCACCTGCATACAAACAAATGGGAGCATTTTCTCGGCGGCTTATTTCTTCTTTTAATTAAGAGCAAGCACTGCTCCTTCCTCCTTCTCCACCTGCACACAAACAATAACAACAAAAGCAACAGCAATAGAAGAGAAGCACAATCAACTTGTTATCAGTACAACTCATGCTGCAGCAAGTTTGTGATTCGAGTGACAGCCATTATTGCTTCGTCTTATCCCATTTTTGTGAGTGGAGTGACATCCATTGTGGCTTTTGCCAGTCTTATCCTTTTTTGTGAGTCGAGTGACATCCATTGTGGCTTTTGCCAGTCTTATCCTTTTTTGTGAGTCAAGTGACATCCATTAAGACATTGTCTAATCCTGGACTGAAAGGCACTGTGATGGATCACTAAGATCACTATGCTCTGCACACTATAGGCCTTATGCACGCTGTACAGATGCACACACGAAATACCGTAGAATCTCGTCGAATCTCGCCAGCAGAATACCGTACACCCGGTTGGGTGTTGAATGTGCAGGACCCTATTGTGTGTACTTGTGCAGGACCCTATTGTGTTTACTTCTATTTTCACTATGAAATGCGCCCTGAAAGCATTTCATACGAAAGCTTTCCGACAGAGATCTAGCTAGTCATCAGTTCAATCCCAATGTGAAAGTGAAGAAGCTTGAAAAGCAATTGTTTGCCACACATTATGAGGATAAAATGTTCAAACGCGCATGTATAGCACATAGTGAACACCCAACCGGGTATGCACACACCTACGGCTCTAGTACAGAACTTCGTACATCTGTGCAACATGCATTATCCATATACTGATATAGACTGGCCTTTCAAGTACAATGCGGTGCAATGATAGGAGTGCAAAACGAATCTCACTCGCAGCAGGCGACCAATCATGAAGCATGCACTCGTACATACCGTAAAGTACCGCCAGAGCACCCCGTGTCGCGAGAGCGCCCCACCTTGATTTTACAAGCAGAGAAAGGAAAATCGCATGGCAGAGTGTACGGTGTGAGAACTTAGTGTACTGAGGTTGCGCTTGGCATGTTTTTGTGTGTGGAGCTCGAAGGTAAACTGAGTACGGATTGACTGCACAGCGTGCGATGTGTGTACAAGGCACGTATCGTCTGACCTTCAAACAGGATACCACCTCCACAGGACGACCACGAAAGGACGAGTTGGTGGGGGGGGGGGGGGGGGGGATCTGGCGGTACTTTACGGTAATACACCAGGATTTCCAGGGAGATCTTATGAATCCTCTAACCCAGACAACTAACGGGCATTTGACCGAATGCAGCCCAGATGCATGTACATGTGTGTAATAAATTTTGTTGGCTTCTCTTCAGTAATCTGACTTCTGACATTTTGGTGGTGCACTCAGTGGTTAAACAAGACAGAATTGCTGCACTGTGAAAGTGTGAAAACTTTGAGCTAGGGCTGAAACAATTATATCAATAACTCGCATGTCGATCGTTAGTGTTCAAAACGAGTGCTAATGATTTGTCACGTATGCATAATATCAGTGACCATATTCTAGCCCTTGCACTCCACCCGATAGTGAATACCAGTGCAATCATGTACTGTAATTATTTGACAAATTTTCAGTACTTTCGGTGCATCTGTTTCATACCTAAAATCTGAATACACCGAGCAAACACTAACACATGTCGCGAATCGCGAGAATAATCTAATCAACTCCTTATTTGCGCATCGTGCGCCTAAATCTGCTATGCGTACTGTATTGTTGTACGCTGTATTTTCTCTTCGGGGTGCTAGTGCCGAATTGGGCCAGCACCGTACTCACCTTTTTCTGTAGTATTCATATTTGGTTACAGTGTGCTCGTAATGGTGTTGCTGCTGTTTTCCCCGAAACAAAGAGCTCTTTCCGGTTGGTGAAAGAGCTGCCGAATTTCTTCTTATCATCGACTTCATTACTTGAAATGATCTTACTCGTAGCCTTGACCAGAGTCAAGCTACAACAACCGAAGCTCTTGTTGTGTGTTATGGACTGACATAGATAATCGGCCAGTGATACACAACAAACTGGTGCCGAAACCCGGGACCAGTTTGTTGTGTATCACTGGCCGATAATCTATGTCAGTCCATTCTACTATGACTTTGTGCTGACAGATCGCACCCACTTCCCAGATGGTCTGATTCTCCTAGACACCAAGCTAGGTTTTATCTGCACAGGAAAGGTTCCCCACTCTGAGATCCAACCAGACGAGTCCACACTCATGGTCCATGACGTTCCTGACCCTCAGTGCACACATTCTGACTTCTTGGATATGCCGCCTAGCGAGTTGCACGGATCTCCATCTTCCTTTCTGGGGGAGGATCCTGTACGGTTGACCACACCTACTCCTGATGAGTTTGAAGAGTGTGTTGCAGAAGATGACACTCTGATCACAGATATTCAGTCAGAATGCGCATCCTTTGGCATCGATACCACAGCTGTTGTGAACACCAGGCCACCTGTTGCCCATACTGACGAGTTCTGGGGGTTGGGGGATCCTCTGACACCGGCTCATTTCTTATCCCTCCATTATCTTATGTTCCCCATTTTCTTGATACTAATGTACATGATGACACAGAATGTCTTGTATCTAGCTCTAATTATAATTTGCAAACCAGGCCAGCAGTGTCTTACCAGCCTACGAGAACGCCCACTTAGTGCACCAGCCAAGAGAAGCAAGAATGTGGAACCGTGTGTGAACAGTATTGTGTTGATCAAGGAGAGCGGCATGCCAAGAGGGACATGGAGGCTGGGCAGAGTGGTGGATATGCATGACAGCCAAGATGGTTGGGTGAGATCAGCGACTGTGTACCTTGCGTCTCAGAAACAGGCCACGCCGCGCTGCTGCTCAGAAATGCCAGAATATGGTTCGCAGGCTGAGGGATGATGATGCACTGTGAGTTAGTTGTGTACTTTATTTCCTTCTTTGATCGTATAATTATTTGGTCTTCCCAGATTTGCACTTGCTAACGCACTTGCTAACGCACTTGCTAACGCACTTGCTAACGCACTTGCTAACGCACTTGCTAACGCACTTGCTGACGCACTTACGCACTTACGCACTTGCTAACGCCCTTGCTAACGCCCTTGCTAACGCGCTTGCTAACGCGCTTGCTAACGCGCTTGCTAACGCGCTTGCTAACGCGCTTGCTAACGCGCTTGCTAACGCGCTTGCTAACGCGCTTGCTAACGCGCTTGCTAACGCGCTTGCTAACGCGCTTGCTAACGCGCTTGCTAACGCGCTTGCTAACGCGCTTGCTAACGCACTTGCTAACACACTGTAGCAAAACACTGAGTAAAACGCTGACAAGCACATATTCACATCACACGCGCATGGACGCATGGATGCGCCAAATAGAACTTTGCAGATTCATACATTTGGCAACCACCCGCAGGTGAGAACTATTCGGGTTACAACGGCAGAACAATTATGAGCTCTTCCAGTACAGCCCGGCAGGTGCCCTTACTCCCCCCCCCCCCTCCCCAGGTGCCCTTATCATCGTAATGACGCGCATACAGGCGCATGTGCCCAACGTTATATCCGGGTATACGCGCACCCTCACATATGAGCACATGGCAGCTTAATCCCGCGACACACTGACGCCACCATGGAACAATCCTTACAGGATCTAATGTGCAATTTCCACATTATATACTGTTCATTAATACAATTACAAGCACATGCGCCTATATGTGAGACCAATCAACCCGCAAACAAATTGCGAGTGTGGCAAAAGGGACTCGGATGGAGAGCCAAGGATAAATTTATAGCAAAGAAAAGGACCAAGGAACTTCAAGTTACGCTATAATGTCCACTAACACAACCAGTTACAGTAGGTATCGGTTATAGCGTGGGTGTTTGAAAAACGACTTTCTATTTTTATTTCCGATATTTCTTTCACACGATAAATCAAGTGTGACATATCATGTGCGCAGTGGCAGGAAGATCATTGTACATGCAATGACTATGTATAGTGCTACTGTGCGTGCGGCTGGTCATAGTCACATACTCCATAGGCTTACCATGTGGCTATCCAACATGAGTTACATGACCACAATAGTTGAACCTGCAGCACTACGACGCAATAAGAGTCAGATCAGAACTGCATTGGACGGATGTTATTACTACAGGCGATATACTTTGTACTGATCTGGCATGTTTCGCTACACAAAGTCCATTCTTAGGACCGATATATTCTACTGTGCGATAAAATTGCTTGTGAGAATAAATGTGCACTTGAAACCCATGTTCAGTATGATTATGAAAACATGAGAGTTCATTCCTGTAGGCAGTATATTCTTTCACACGACCATGCTATAACCGATACACACTGAACTTGAAAATCAGCTTACGCGATAGCATTGCACGACACTGACCGACAGTACTCGCGTTCTACCACGAACTGCCAATCACTGGCGATCAGCTCTGGCACGTCTTGGATGCGCACTCCAACAGCCTTCCAAATTGGAAGGTTCTAAGGTATAGCAATAACGTAGGAGGAGAAGGCGAGGGCAACCAAGCAGGGCCGGCGCCCCTGGTACGGCTGGTATTGCCATGGCCGCACCAAACTTGACCAAATTCCAGCTGCCATGTAATGTCCAGTGTATCATTATAATATGAAAGCATCAACACGCTATCCTCGCTAAGAGTCTTTCCTCCTAAGCTGCTCCTCTTGTCCAGTGAGGACTACTGTACTGCTAGCTGTATAGTCATTTTGTTGCTAGCGGAATGAGTAGCTGAAACAACCGGATATGATGCAGCATGCATCCTCCCATGCCACTGAATTTTGGCTTGGGGGGGAAATGACCGGAAATCACCTGGGGCCGTACCACCCCTCATGAGCTGGGGCTGTACCACCCCTCATGAGCTGGGGCCGTACCACCCCTCATGAGCTGGGGCTGTACCACCCCTCATGAGCTGGGGCCGTACCACCTCTCATGAGCTGGGGCCGTACCACCCCTCATGAGCTGGGGCTGTACCACCCCTCATGAGCTGGGGCCGTACCACCCCTCATGAGCTGGCTCCGGGTCTGCCAAGACAAGCACAAGCTGAAAGTCTCAGCTGCGAAGGACGTTGTCTCAGCTGCAAAGGACGTTGGAAGGACGTTGGCGGATGGAAGGTTCTAAGTTCTAGTGTTGTGTGGTATGTTGCTTTGCGTCCTTGAATCGTGGTTTCACTGTATTACAGAGGTTCCGCACTACGTAAAGTTGAGCAAACTCGCAAACTCGCGAATTCACCCGAATTCACAGGTTTTTCCCGTCCACTAACGTAAAGTTGCTCAACTTTACGTTAGTGGACGGGAAAAACCCGTGAATTCGCGAGTTTGCACTCCACTTACGGAAAGTTGTCTGCGTAGAGTATGTACTTCGAAGTAGATAGGGCTCTGATAACGTAGGTGCTCCGTAAGTGGATTGGGGTACAAATTTATGACTCCCTCCCCAGGTCGATCCGGTCGTACACTGCTGTGTGAGTTGCCAAGGGCAGCTACTTCCTCCGCCCAAGCAAAATTTTCGCTTATCTTTACACTTTTTACTGGTAAATTCCAGGTTCTCAGAACGGCATAATAACGACTCATAATGAGTTGAGGAGTCGTTGAACATCAAGAGAAACTCTCCAAGTCGAAAAATGTAGAAGTCGTCCTATATCATAGGCCGACGCAGCACTTGTTGTCGGGTAGTACTTCGCACTTTCCAGAAGCGCAAATATTTCGTATCGACACTTTTCCAAGCGCTTCACCACCTTCATGGGTACGATCGGTCGTGTTTCTTACCAGCCGAAGCTGACGAGCTAAGCGTCGCTTCGCAAGATCGTTCACGTTGGCATCAGGCGAATGAGCTGGGTGAGTGACAACCCTGTCATCGAAGCCTTTCTTTTACCCTGTTTTGCCCAGTGCCGATTCTGGTTCATTTTGCAGTACGTGGGCGAGCGTCGCTGAGTGGCTTTCTCAGCTTCAAGCTCACATGCATGTTTTACCGTACACACATCTTGTGCCGGATGCAATCAAACACGCTGGCTTTTCGCAACATGACACCTCTGCTCTGTACTCCAGTGGTACTCTAGCAGCACCCACCTTGACCAGTGCCTGACTTCGCGTCTTTTTTACCAGTTCACTCGCGCTCAACGCGTTCTACTCTAGGTGATTCTTTACTCTTTGCTGACTTCGCCGACTTGATTGGAACTGGTACGCCTGAACCAGCAGATTTGTTTGATGGTGAAGTGCACAAGATGCAAATATTGCTGTCAAACACCTGTCATTGGGCTGAAGGAGATAAGCGAAAATTTTGCCTGGGCGGAGGAAGTACGTGATTTGAAAACTCTGTATGGCGGAGCACAGATCCGCATGCAGTTTACGTAAGCCTTTCCGTAGATCGACTATGTTTTTTTACTAACGTAATTACGCTATGCAGAACCTCTCTATAGTCTAATGGTCTTGCCAGTATTGTCATCGACATGCATGTACAGCCACCAACGTCCTTCACAGCTGAGGCTTTCAGTGTGTCCTGGTCTTGGTTGCTCGCACCTTCCCCTCCTATGTTGTTACAGGTAGACTCCCTCTAATTCGAATACGGTACAATTCAAACATTACGTGTACAGTGAGATCTCGCTTAACCGCACACGTCCGTTTTCCACAAAAACATCTGGATAGGCGAGGGAACCGGATAATCGAACACACTTACTGTATGTATGCATGCCATATGCTGTAAATCGGTAACCAACGATTTTATTCCGGATGGCGAGGGATCCGGATATAAGAGGACGGATAAGCGAGGTCTGACTGTAATTCGAACTTTTTTTGTCGTACCGATCTTCTGGAAGTCACTTCAAGTCAAATTCGATTGCATAATTCGAAGTACGAAAAGTGCGCCCGCTGGATAATTCGAACTCTGTCTTCGTACAGAAGAGCAGTTGACAGTACAGTGACTATGTCCTTCGAGCGCGTATTTCGAAGTGAGATGGAAATTCTCTCAAAATTGGATTCAAGCCTGTGCAAGGCAAAGTGCAAAGATTTGATTGAAGACGACTTCTTCCAGGTGGTTGGCTCCGGCCTTCGCGGATCTCAGTGGCTTGTCATGCCGCGCCAGCTCATGCGCAGAGAAGTTTGGGACTGAACAACAACTGGAAGTCGTAAAAATTGTCTATGCATATGATATGCTCCACTTTCGTTCTTCAGAACGACGGCATGTGCTGTTCTACGATGGGCTTTCATGACGCAGAGAAGGCAGCGCTGTTCTTTTGCGTTGAAATTGTTTCAGGACAGCTGCAGCGATTGACACCTACTTCACTAGAACTTCGTAGAAGATGAAGATAATGTCGAATGACTTTGTGTCAATCCAGTGCTTGGATGAAATGAACTGATTTCGTTGTACATGACCACCTATGTTTCGTTGACGCAAATAAATGTGCAAAAATAATCAGCATGCAATTTCGAGCATTTTGATATACATATCAGTTAGGGCTGAAACAATTATACCGATAACTCGCATATCGATCGTTTCGAGTGCAATCGATAATCGTTAGTTCAAAACGAGTGCTAACGATTTATCATGCATGCATATCAGTGACAGTATTCTAGCCCTTGCGCTCCATCCGATAGTGAATACGAGTACAATCATGTACTTCCAAGCGCGGTAAAATTGATTTGTGGCTTTGAAAGAGATCGGGAAAGAAGACTTTGTCTTTTTGGTTCATTTGTGTGAGAGATTGGAGATAAGAGCAGTTGCCAGAGGGTGATGACAAGATTCTTTGCTCTAGAAACAACATGAAATTCTCTAGTTCATGTTGATAAAACCAGCCAGATATCCACAGATGTCAACAGTGCGGTGCCACAAGTTTAGGGTTCACGGCTTGCCACTAAAAGCACCCGTCACGTGCGCCTCCATTTTGGATTATGGACGCGCGCTACAGGCCGCGACAGCGCCTATCGAAGTAAAAAAAATATCGACTCGAAGTCTAGCCGGAGAGCGTACTTTTTGAATTTTTCCTTGGCTTCAGTGGCTTCACTTCACTCGGGCTTTGCATTTTTCTGACTGACCTGGACTTGATGATGGCGGCAGTGGCGGTCTTGGCGAAAGATCCAGTTCCATCTGAGACACTCTGTCGTCTTTTCTTATCTGCATGCTGAGGTTCTGGCAAAGCGCAGCTGCATCGAACCTGACTAGATGTAGCTGCACGCATCCTTTGTTTGCCCTGCAAATCTCGATCTGTTGCTCTTCTTGCTGTTTGGCCGCTGATGCCATGGAAGAAAATATTCTTCCTGTAAAGAGGCCGCAACTGAGCTAGGGCACGTCAAGATATGTATGGTATACAAAGAAAAAGAAATGTCATGGTCGTTTCAGCAGCTCACGACAGCCAACACGCTCCATCGTCGGGATTTGAAGTATCCAGCACGGCTGTTCCGAGCGCTGCTGCTCTTGTTATTCTTCTTCTTGACAAATTCTGCACACCTTGTCGGCCAAAGTACGCGCGCGCGTGCACGGAAAATAGATGCGCTGAGCCGTTTCTTGTTCGATTTTGACAAATAAGGGCTTGTTGTTTTGCTCTCGACCTTGGCTATCCTTCTACCGTTCAGTATTTTACGGAAACGCAACGGCTCCCCCTGTTTTTTTAGCCGAACTTTGGCCAAAGTTACTGGAAAACCCGGAACTCGTTTGAAAAAATACGAACGGTGGAAGTCTTGGAACGTCTTTCGTGCGTGTGGATTCAAAAATTCAGGCAGTTTGAGCCAACCGTAATGAATCCCGTAGAGTTGAAAGTGAGTGATATTGATGGGAAAATGCGATTTGAGCACTGACCGATTGTGTGGGACAGTATATGCACGCGCCTGTCACGTGCATGATGTAGCTGGCGACGCTAGCATGCCAATCCGTGAACCCTAAAGTTTCTAATGTACCAAAGGTATCATGGAATTTCTTCATAATCTGGTGTGCGAGGTACACGAGTAGAGCCGACAAGAATCGATAAAACCAATATCGATCGTTCATGATATTGGTTGATCTTTAGGAGTTATTTAATGATCGTTTCAGCCCTAATATCACAACATTGGACTGTATTTGGATAATTAGAAGTTCCGGATAATTAGAAGTTGGGGCCTGGCAATTTGAGGTTCGAATTAGAGGGAGTCTACCTGTACTTCTTGAAGTACTATAACTTAGACTGTTGCCTTGGAGTGCGAACCCAAGACATGCTAAGCTGTTTGGCAGTTGGTCAGTACCGTCGGTCAGTGTCGTGCAATGTTATGGCATGAGCTGATTGTCAAGTAACTGCCAGTGGTGTTAGTGGACATTATAGCGTAACTTGTACAGTGCTGGCAACTGAAACCCGACCCCTAAGCGGTGCGCTCACATCACAAAGATCCAGCGCAGGATTGTAAAACAACGAAGTAGAGACCGCTAGAATTTGAACGCACCACTCAGGGGAGGGGGGGGGGGCGGATTCGAACGCACCACTCAGGGGGGGGGATTTGAACGCACCACTCAGGGGAGGGGGGGGGGGCACGGCGGATTTCAGTTGCCAGCACTGTAGTTCCTTGGTCCTTTTCTTTGCTATACAAGTTCTTAAAAGTGGCAACAATTCTTAAGTGGCAACAATTCGCTTATAAGCGCATGGGCTGAAATGCGGGTCATTAGGGTAACTGTCCACTTACCAACATGACAAGCTGTCTGGAGGTTGGGGTCTCCTGTCTCAGTAGCTGCATGTCTCACACGTGGTGGTAGCATACACTGTTCACTGCGGGTCGTCTGCTTCACCTGCATGAAGAAAGCAACAAAACAAGAGCTACGCTTGTGTGCCCGGATTCATTGACAGAAGTCTTAACTTGATGATCCTGGTCAGCCGCTTGTCATGACATCACCTTGTATGGTGCTCCTGACACTTGTGATCTGATGGTGATCTCACTGCAGGCCGCAGGCACTTCATGAAGAACACTGTGAATAGGGAATGCCAGCCTGCTACTACACTCGGCATACCTCGTTCATCCGGGCGGTCCGGGACCGGGCACTTCGAAAATGGGGAAAGGCCATAGATATGGCATATGGTGGCACTATTTGAGTATTTCCACAAAAGTGACAACAGAGTAGTAATATTTCCACAAAAGTGACAACAGAGTAGTAATATTTCCACTGAAACTCGCCCAAAGGGTGGCCAGCAGGCCAAAGTGTCCGTAACTTCGCCGGGTCCGGACAACCAGGGGTACGAGTGTGTAATAACAGTTAGTGTTGGCTGACGTAAGCCAAATAATTGATGGGAGGAGGTACGGGCGGTGAGCAAGCTCACGTCAGCTCCGGGCGGTGTCAGCATAAATCACATGCACACTGTTTGAGGGCCATCATAGTAGCAACACTACTACAAGGTACTACAGTGCTGGCAACTGAAATCCGGCCCCCAGGGCGGCGCGTTCACTTTCTAGCGGCCTCTATTTCGGGTCTTTACGCTGTGAGCGCACTGCTCATGGGGTCGTATTTCAGTTGCCAGCACTGTAGCACATGTAATACACTGTGACATGTGTCCACTGCGGAATGCTACGACAGGATTTCCCATTTGACTGTGTGAATTCTATGTTTCTTGCGGCAGTATTTCCACTTCCACGTGCCCATCGCTGAAGCAATGCTAGCATAGCACACTATGCCATAGCAACTTGTGCTAGGATTACATCATTCAACAACTTGTGCTAGGATTACACCATTCAACAACTTGTGCTAGGATTACAGCATTCAACAGCTTGCGCTAGGATTACACCATTCAACAGCTTGCGAGGCTGCTGAATCAACCGCCACTAATTTTAGCCTGGTCTACACCACACAGCTGATTGAAGTGGCTTTTCTGGCAGGTGAATCCTTATTTCTCAGTTTGTTCTCTTTTTCATTCTTTTTTGACACACACCACACCACATACTCCGGCATGCACTGGCTGTTGGTAGCCACCCAGGAGAATGAAAGAAGAGCTAGGAGAATGGTAAAGAGAAGAAAGACGCGTGCGGCCATAATCGTCGGGAATTGAATCCGCAACCTCTCGACCGGAAATCGACTGCACATGCATACCACACTGCACCACATGGGACACACCGGCGCCAGTAGTTCAGGAGATAACAAGGGTCTTTCTTGCCTGATCATGACTGCACTTGTTGTCACATGTACTGTAAATTGCTGTTGATTCCCCCCCCCCCCCTCCACGCGGTGTCGCTTCCTAGCTGGTTTTCGGCAGGGGGCAGGAATTAGATCAAGTCGTTCATGTGCATGTGTACAACAAAGCAGAAGATCAGACATGGCATGCTGGATTGTGCACATTTTTATCCTGCACTCGCACCTATTATGTACGGCTGTACATGCGTCGGTTCAACATCGCATTTCGTTGTATACGTCGACTCTTCACGGGCAGAAATTCCACAGAGGGCGGAAATTTATGCGGGGCGGATCAATGGTACTTTACAGCACTTCTTTCTACTGCAGCAGCTCATGAAACAAATGTTATTTCCACACCTCAGTACTGTTGTGCAGTCAGCGACAGTGTCGAAATGATCAAAGGTTAGCAGAGCCCCGATCTTGACGGCCATTTGAAGCATACGGGGTCTGGCCCGGTTCGGACCCTCAATTTACTAGGGAGTTATGTTTAAGACATTTCTTATTTGTACTGTGTATTTCTTGCTCGTTTTGGATGTCAGTCTTATGTAAATCTTCTCGATTGTTTTAATCCTTTGGTGTGTAGACCTGTGTAGACCTGTCAGCATTATTCTAAGTTGGTTCTTTGTACATGCATTTGGACGTTTTATTGTTTCTGTTTTCCGTTTGTTCTTTTCCTTTTTTCTGTCTTTTCTTTTTCTTCTCCCAACTCCTGCCCGTGGCGGCCTTCCCTCAGCTCGTCAGCTGACAAAACAGTCACTGTCATCACCATGACACTGTCGTGAGAAGGTGATCGCTGTAGACGAGGTTGGTGATGTCCCGGCGCGGGCCCTGGTAAATTGAGGGTCCCAACAGGGCTAGACTCCATACGGTTCAAGTGGTCGCAAGACCGGGGCTCTGCCAACCGATGATGGTTGTAATCAGGAGCACTGTTTTCAATACAGTGCGTCCTCCGCCTTGTAACATGCTGTCAGCCGATCAACACGTCGATCTAACAAACGAGGTTTACATAATATCTGTACCGTATTGTACGAAACATGCCCCGACCCGTGACTGCACACAGCTCGGATTCGAGACAGGGAACAATCCACTAGAAATACTTTGTATTTCATGTCACAATGGTCCCCGTTGTCATGGGAACAGTCAACCATGAGTGCGTACGTGTGGGCTGTGTTTTGCTGTACAGCGGACACTGCTCACTGAGACAGTGCTTGTGCTCAAAGCAGAATGTTAGGTGCCATAGCTACTGGATGCAGAACCACTTGCAGATCAGAGCGACACGAACTGAACTGATTACCAGCTTGACCTGCAGTACATTTCTCACCACTATCTCCAAACTACAGTGCTGGCAACTGAAATCCGACCCCTGAGCGGTGCGCTCACATCGCGAAGACCCAACACGGGATGGTAAAACTACGAAACAGAGACCGCTAGAATGTGAACCCACCGCTGAGGAGGTCGGATTTCAGTTGCCAGCACTGTAGTGCATGTACTGGGCTGCTTGGCTCAAGAAACACACTGTAACACACTGTAACACACTGTGGTCTTATTGCGGATATCGGATCGTATTCAACACGATAGCAGCGGCAAAGTCAGCTACATCGTGTACCCAGACAACAATGTACAAGCACATAGATGCCAGAGTGCACTGATGTAAAATATAATAATTATTCATTTCACTGACACCGACTTACTTACTTGGTACGCCATCCACATCGCTCGTGGCTTTCTCTGCCGTGCCACTGAGTGACTCCTGAACGAACAGCAATGATTCCGGGTGAGGGTCTGCACGCCGCAGTCGGCTAATGGATAGCGTGAGAATAGTACGTCTTGCACTTGTCCATATTCTGTCGCTCGCCAGCTTTGTGTCCGTCTCGATATTGGTGACAGTTTACAAAAAAATAATAATAATAACGAAGGCATGGTATGCAAACGCACTCATATCCAGTCTGCACTGCAGGTCGGTCGGTGTACGGATAGCCACAGAAGTCACAAACGATGTGACACGATGGACAGGTCCGAAGACCGAACTTTCGACGTTATGTCAGAGGCCACTGCTAGTGCCAGTTTGCTTGGTGGCTGCTGGGCAGCAGAGAAGCTGAATGACTCACTGTGATGAACTCCGTCTTCCAAAGACATACTGTGTTGACCTGCTACGTGTAACGACGTTGCCGTTTCAAGCTCGTTGCAAGCGTCTTCGTTGGTATAGTACAGGTAACATAACTGACTTTACATAGCCGTCTAGCGCCTATCGTACCTTTGTTCACGACATGCTGACGCTTCGCTTGCATGTAAATTTTAGTTACCAGTAGCTCCTTCCAACCAAATCTTTTTCCGCAGCCAAGTCCTGAATAGCGAACACAAACCGCTGACCGCTGACTCGGTCTACATAGCCATCGCTACTACTGCTTGCAAGTACTTGTAGGCTGGTACATACTAGTAGGTAAAAAGGCGACAACTTTTGATAGACTCGTGACGTTGAAGAGAACCTGTTCCAGAACATACAACACAGCAACAACAAACCGTTGTTTCTGCACCACACAGCGCTAATACTAGTGAGCATCATTCCTGAGGTGATAATAAAAAAAACTGCGTAGACTCTACTGATGTAACACTGCACTGTACAGTGCTGCCGGCCATTGACGAACCCCTCCACAAAAACATCCGGCGACTCCGTGACCTGTAGTCGAGGGGTACCTCAAGGCTCTGTCCAGGGCCCCGTTCTTTTCACAATCTACACAAGACACGTAACAGACGTCACACCAACTCACACATCTAACATACTCTACGCCGCGCCGACGATAGGACTCTACACATCGAGCAGCTGCATCAACACGATACAGGACCGACTATCAGAGAGCTTCGATGCGGTTAAATCACACCTCACGGAACTGGGCCTCCTACTGAACCCCGACAAAACTCAACTATTAATCGTCCGCCGGAAGACTACCCCATTTCCACCTACCTTCACTGTCATCTGTGGTAACTTCCCAGTATCCCCTTCCCAGTGTGTCCGTTACCTTGGAGTGCTAGTCGACCAGCACCTTGCCTTCAAGGAGCAGGTCGGGAAAGTTGTTGCTGACGTCAACCGTAAGCTGGCCGCATTCCGCAGAATACGACATCACATTACCACCCAGGCACAACGTTCCTTTTACCTAAGCATTATCCAATCCACCATGGAGTACGCCAGCAACTGCTACGTTCACACGATATCAGCAACCCTATACAACACACTCATTCGATGCTTCAAACGTAGCCTCAGGATAACATTTGGCTACCCACCATGCCACCCAACCGCCACCATTTGTCAACGCCACAAAATTATTCCTGTCGCCATCCGTTATAAGTTATAACCTAAAGATATTTTGCCTTGAAGTTGGTTCATTCTAAGTTCATATTTTGCCTTGTCTATAAATGTGTGCATGGCCGCCGCAGGCCTCTACTTGCCGAGCTTTTTGTACTTAGATCAAATAGCAACCATACTAATGCCTTGGCCAGAGGACAGTCCGCCCAGGCTTTAGCCCTGCCTAATGCTTCGTCACGGTACGGTTTCTATGCTTTGCCTTACCTGGCTGCTGACAGGTGGAATTCGCTTCCAGCAGCATGCCGCCAGGCAGCCTCCTTTGCAATGTTCAACAGTACTCTTCGCAGCCTCTTTTGCAACACATAATGGCACAGTATGCAGCCACCGTTTTCTTTTTTCTTTACTCTATTTCACGCACTTACGGCTTTCTTCATTCAGCTCTATTTCACGCACTTACCTAGGGTACCCTGTAAAAAGACTTACAGTCTGTGGGGATTGCGCTAGTAAAATAATAAATACTACTACTACTGCTACTACATTGCCAAAGCAACGCCAAAGCCAAGGACAAAATCACACTTATATAGTTATAATAATAATTATGCCTTGGAAGTCATTACATTAGCGCTCCATTACTGCATTAGGCCACACGTACGTTTCTATTTCTATGTTTCTCGCCACCCGATCGATAATATAAAAATTAATCGTATGCGAGAGGTGAAAAAAAAAAAAAATTACCAAAAAATAAAAAAAGTTTACTGTAGACCTAATAATACTAAAATTAATTCTCTAAAATCGACCAATACACCGTGTGAAATAGCATCTAAAGTGAGTACTATCAACTACATCATGTAGCTAGCTGTTAGTAGATCTACTCGTGGTAGGAACTTCTGTGCACCAGCAGCTACAATTTGTAGATTGTGCAACAAAAACTTCAGTCATGCAGCGCTAGCGACCTCGCATCATGTGTTGAGCTAGCAGTCCAGGTTGCACATGTGAATGACTGGTAACCATAGTGCAGCAGTTTTTTTTTCTCCCAGACTCGACCTCCTGAACCATATGCGCACGGGTGAGGAGACTCATAGAAATATAAACGTGTGGCCTTATAACATTTTACTGGCCCAATCCTCAACACATAGATCAATGACATCCACATAGATCAATGATAAAATCTGTAGTAACCCCCCCCCCCCCTCTCTCTCTCTCTCTCTCTCTCTCTCTCTCTCTCTCTCTCCCCCGCGACAAGTCACCTTCAGAATACACAGCATAGACTGCTAGCACACGTTACCACACAAGTACAGCACAGTAAGTGATTGTTACCAAGGTGACCAGCACTCCTGGGCGCACGGCATACGAGTATTCAAGAGACTGAAATGTCACTGAATTAAAAATCGTGATCCGCATCAACGGTGTAAAAAGTAGACATACATAATTATTATAATGATTGACTTGAAAGGAGATAAAAGCATAACTAGGGAAAGGGCGGTCTACATAACAATGAGAAGTAAGTGAAAGACTGAGTGCAGCTGCATACCACTGGAATAAATATCAGTATGACATTCACGATCCGATTGAGTGGTACCACAGTGTGCAGGATGCTAGGGTGCAGCAGCAGGCACATTAGTGCACGCTGCTACGGCTATTGACAGTCCATACATCTATCATGTAGTGTGTGATAGAATAACCGTGCACTATGCAAACAGCATAATATTGATATGCACACCATTCACCAAAATGCAGTAATCAGAGTAGAAGGAAAATGCTTAAAAAAGGGGAGTAATTCCACAATGTCAACGATCTTCAGAAACGGGGCTATGAAACGATAATTCAAGACTTTTCCAAATCGTAATAAAATAGACGTACTGTTGCAGCACATACTACCTACGGCACAACAGTTATATTTTGTAAGAATTAATAATATTCTGAAAGCAAAAGGGGGTGGAGGTGGGGGTGGGGGCAAGAATCACTTGACAAAATCAGAACATCTAGTAGATATGACACACAAGCACCTACATGTATCTAATGTAAGTAGAAGATGCAGAACTGTAAGGTGCACAGTGAATTGCACAGTGACGGCAAACAAAGCAAGCAGTCTTCATAATGACTGGCGGTATAGACAATGACAAACCAACTGACCAACAACAAACTGATTGTCCAAGGTGCTGGATGTGTTACTGATAGTCCATGATCCGGCACATGCAAGTACCACACACACTGCACTAAAATAAGCCAGTGGACAAGTATCACACTGCTGCCAATGACACTGCTTTTGTCACACAACTCCGTGCTGATACGCATGATCGCCACGCATAGCTGATAACTGTTAGCTGATTTCCAGACGGGGAACAACAGCAACACGGAGGCTAGCAAGAGCCCACCGGTCTTGGGCAGGATCTCTACGTTAGCCTAACCAGCGCAGTGCAGTACACAACTAGGAGGATCACCATGTTAGCCTAACCAGCGCAGTGCAGTACACAACTACTACACTGTAGCAGCAACAGCTCCATGCCAGACCAGTGGAGTGCACAGCTAGTCCTTGATTTCACCAACTTACTGATAATTTCGGTACACAGTATAGAAGTTCTCAAAGCTCCTCCAACATGACAGTTTCAGTGTTCCAGCCTCTCTGGTACATTACATGACAAAAAGAGAGTCTGACTTGGCAGCCGTGCCACGCCGAGTTGGCAAGCGCCTTCCTGTTGGACCGTCTGCTCGGCGTGAGTACGTACCATTGATCCTGGTATTGGGTCCTGTTACCATAACAGACACGTGGATAGATAGATAGATAGATAGGAAGATGCAGAGAGAGAGAGAGAGAGAGAGAGAGAGAGAGAGAGAGAGAGAGAGAGAGAGAGAGAGAGAGAGAGAGAGAGAGAGAGAGAGAGAGAGAGAGAGAGAGAGAGAGAGAGAGAGAGAGAGAGAGAGAGAGGAGGCAGAGAGAGGGAGAGAGGGGCAAAAAGAGACAGAGGGGCAGAGAGAGAGACAGAATGCGTGAATACATGATATGTATATCAACAAACTTACTACATTGCTGTATGCCAGTGGGAGAAGATACCATACGAAGGACATGGAGCGTGATAAAGTGGAATTTATTCTAGCAATGAAACCGATAAATGTTTGCATTTTGAATGGAGTAGCTTGGCTCTACATACACAAACTTACAGTACACATGTGTTGTGTTGTACAGCATGCCATCCTGCAAACCCCTCAGCTGCATGGCCAGTACTTGTACATGAATCACAACACGGCAGCAGCAGCATAGCGGTAGCACAATCACAATCAATGTCTGGGTATGAGTACCTTTTCAAAAGACGACGGTGGTTTCACTACCTCTTCTTCAGGTTTGGATATTTGCTGTCGTAGGTGTGCAGGACGAGAACCAGCCACTGGCTTTGGCTTAATTACTGGACGGGGTTTCTTACTGCCTCCTTCAGCAGATCTGGAAAGACAAACAAAAAGTCATTCCTTATCCATCTCATCCAGAAAGTGTTGGATAAATCCCCTCTTCCATACCAGCTGGTCCGTTTCCTCCAATGGCTTACTCTGGCCATGATCTGTGGAGACCACACGGCATGTGCTTGCACCCGGTTGAACCATGTCCTGAAGCTGTTTGCGGATGTCCATGTCATACATGCAGCAATCAATTACTGTGATGATATCCTTCACCAGTGCAAGGACTTTTGCTGGTCTGCTGCCAAGGTAGGGTGGTAGCCAAAGGAGAGTAGAGGGTGCACTAAACTTGCGTTTTTCGTACTTTCAAGTGGCCATAAGTACAACAAGATGCATAAGCATCCCCCATAAGAACATCATTTCCACAGTCCATGCATGCTAGAGAACAACTTAGAACAGAAAAAACAGCACTTCTTCTGTAAAAGTTTATCTAACCAGCAAGGTTTACAGAATATCTGTACCGTATTGCACGAAACATGCCCCGACTCGTGACTGCACACAGCTCGGATTCGAGACAGGGAACAATCCACTAGAAATACTTTGTAATGCATGTCACAATGGTCCCCGTTGTCATGGGAACAGTCAACCATGAGTGCGTACGTGTGGGCTGTGTTTTGCTGTACAGTGGACATTGCTCACTGAGACAGTGCTTGTGCTCAAAGCGGACTGTTAGGTGCCATAGCTACTGGATGCAGAACCACTATCAGATCTCAGAGCGACATGAACTGAAAGTACCAGCTTGGGAGCCATCCCTGACCATACACCACCGCTTCCAGAGCGTCTACTTTAGACTCTGCGTGGCTGTAGCTGGAAGTGCAGGACAGTGACAGCAACCTTGTTCATGCGCATGGCTGCATAGCCGCCTGGGAGTACACACC